TGTAGACATTCAGAAAAAGAAATTCCAACTTATCCAATACATGCAAAAGCTTTTTTTCTCTTAAAGGAGTAGAAAATTATTGGTTGTGCTGGATGTATATAGGATTAAGTACCATAGAATGTTAAACCATCATTACCATTTTCAGTATTTTACATTTCTAATTGATGTTAAATCACTTGATCAATTAGAATCATCATCACCATCAACATACAGAGAGATTTTTCGTATAATAAATGCTTTTAAAAGTGTAAATAGGTCGGTGGACTGATCGAGCGAGTCGCAAAGGACCGCAACAATACACAATAAGGTCGCTAGGTAATTTCCTGTCTGTGTGATGAGTCTTGTGCGCTTGCTAAACGAGTCGCTTTTGTCCTCCGCAGTTTTACTGCTTTTTCATTTGCTCTATACGAATAATACTTTCCGCTTGCCTGTGTAATATTATGTACATCAACAATACACCAAAGATATCAATGTATCTGTTCAAGACAATCGAATTGAAAATAAAAGAAAAATGAGTACAGTGTATCCTGTTTATGATGTATAATAAACCATTGACACCTTGTTTTATTTTCATTTTTAAATTTACTGAAATTTTACTTTAATTTAGACAGTGTGTATTGTGAGTAATAATCCATACCAAGCACAGTGAAAACAATTAAAGATATGTCTTCTCAATAATTACTTCATTATTGTTAGACAAAAGACTTGGAGAAACCACAGTTAAGTTCGTCATAAAATAAAAATATTTATTACTTTAAAACGTTATGTCATTTCTAGATGGCATTGATTATAATAGAAGGGTTCAAACCCATGACCACCAACATCACATAAATGTTCAAATACTCATCAAAGTTTACAAAGTGTGCTGATATTTGATCCAGGAATTTTTTTTTTTTTTTTACCAACAGTGCCATTATAGTCAAGGGTCAAAGTTAAAGGATAGAAAATGGCTATGAGGGTTGTAAAGGTCTCATTAAGATCAAGAAATTTCGTGGGAAAGTATTGAGAGGGGTTAAATGAGTCTGATGGCAAATAGAACGTTTATAAATACTGGTATAATAATAATATTCTCCCCTAAGCGATTACATTATTAGGGTGATTACACAGTTCCGTAATCGCGAGTGTAACGAGCATTGTGTCCATCAGTTTGGATGTAACGATCAGAAAGAAAGGGAAATAATAAGTAACTCAATGTACATAGCATGTACCCATTGTTGTTGTCTTTCTTGAGACTTTTAACCACCATCTCAAACATCACCACCATCAAGACTTTTAATATCTACATATACGCCCTCGCAACTTACTCCTACGCTCTTCTCATCATCTCTATATATGCAAGATACTAGGGAGCTCTTTATGTATTTACATGTGCGAGTATGCATATAATCGGCATGGGCGCGCTCAGAGTTTCACGCTTCGCGACGCGCATCATATCTGTTTCCTGGCAATCTGACTCCCTCCTTGATCAACTGAATCTCGAGTTATTTGTTCACCAATAATCACTGATAATTATCAGTATTGATGAAAAATATCAGTACCAGAAAAGATCAGTGATATTAAATTGGCCATTTCTGCTAAATGTGACCTTGTAGAATGAGCATAAAAAATTTAAATAGTTTTATTCTTGGCTTAATTACTGGTGTTGTAATGATTAAGAGGGTTGGGCAGTTGTAATTAACAGCTTTAGTTAGAGATATATTATTGTAAGTTTCTGTTGCAATTCAGGAGTCATCCAATGTCCATCATCTGACAGACTCAGTCAATTAGATGGCAATCGTGCCACATGATGATTTTCAAAGCTGGCAAAAGTAGATGGCAAAGTCATTTGTGTATATGTAGAGGTTATAAATCGGTGTATATACAAGTAAGCGCACTCAAATCTATTATAGTGGCCTCCGTGAACAATAACTCTTCTCCACTCTCAGCATTTAATGGTTTCGTCCATCTATTTACCCGTGGAGGAAGCGGAAGTGGCTGATGGGTAGATAGGTCGAGCGTTTTGTAACTAATTTCGTGAGTAAATTGTCCGGAACATTGGTTTGGTGCATTTGTAAACCCTTGGAACCTCATGCTTACAAGCAATGTGCTAATATATGCATACTACACATTAACCATTTGAAGGTAAGTGAACATAAGAAACTAACCAGGGGAATATTACCTTTGGCCAGCTTATGTATTCTTTTTTTTTGATACATAAAATATCTACGCTCTACTTAATGAAGCTGTTTACCTCCATCATCAACGATAATTGCCATCTGCATTTCAAGTTTTGTTTCTTCTCCAGACACAAGAAGAGGTTTCGTTTGCATTTGTTTGTATATAATCGAGAAGCACATGAACCTGTGAGTAGCAAAAGTACCTTAGCGTGGGATGAAAGGAGAAAGGAGTATCATTTGGACTCATCAATGTGTATATATGAGCAAAGTATATACGAGAGTGTTCTGCCGACTGGAGCACCCACTCGCAAGACTCCTCATAAGACATGAGTCATTCTTCCTATCATAGCTTAAGCTTCAACATCAATCTGACGTGCAAATTTTATTCTTGATCCTGTCAAAACAACTTGAGGAAATTCATTACAAAATTATATTTCAACAATAAATTAAACAAAACAAGAGAAAAAATTTTATTTTTATCTGTGCTAATTAATTGCATAGTATTTTAAACTATTAATATGATGTATCTTCTCTTATTTTTATCCATAAACATCATGTCTATCAACAAATGATTTGAAACATGATTTAATCCACAAACTAATTTCATTCATAATTGGATAATGTACAAATGTTCAAACTAATTTCTTCCATTTGATTTTAGTTTCATCATAAAATAATAACAATCTTCAACAAATGGAAATTTACTCAAGTATTGTAATGACTGAAATTTCTTCACCAAGTAAATATGAATCATTTTCTCTTATCATCACTAATCTTCCTACTTGATATGTAGTTGGTACTTTTATCAATAAAACTCCAAATAAACCAAAATTCATTTTTAAATAAATTCCTTTCTCCATGGATAAAGAAAAATGAATTCATACTATCAATTGAAAGATTGCAGGTAACTTATGGTAATACTAAAGGAGGTGAACCGTGGAAACATTTCGTCCGGTGGACGTTGGACATATTCCGGACATAGTAATAGCAAATTTCCGCCATGTCTCTCCAATATCTTGAACGTGAATTTAAAGTTGTTTAACTACTGTAGTTGCTTTAGTCAGAAGAATGTGAATTGTCCTGTATGTCTTGGCTTATATGCATGTGTCAAGAAGTAAATGATAGTAGTTTCAATTAATTAGCATCGACCCTAATTTTCTTGCTTGATGTCACAGTAATCCAATCCTCATTGGTGGGGGGATGTTTGAGAGTTAAAAATCAATAGTTATTCAATGAAAGAGTATTCTCTCTTTAGAAAGTACTCAATTGTAATGTATTTTTTATCATCATTTTAAAAGAAATAGATATAAATGTACATAACTGTTGCTTTTTCAACAGAACTATAACCATATAAATAAGCAAGATCTCATAGACTTTCATGATGAATATATTGCTCACTAAAACAATTGTAAAGTTGTACCATCAAACTCAATAGTTATTTCTCATTTCTAGATGTAAGTTTCCATGAAAATGAAGAGGCAAATAATGTTGAGTCTAACATTTAACTTGAAAAAATTAAAAGATATGTCATAAAATATGATGGAAGGGGAACATAAATGAGAGCCAGAGTATAGAGATATTGGTACGTATAGAATTCTATACCATTCGTTTGTAATATGCGACGCGTGTCTCGAGACAGACGGCGTATCAAAGGATATTTACCCTGTCAACATTATAGGTTTAACGTGCGGGGACGCCGGCAGAGTCAACGAGTCAAGAGAGATGAAAAGAGATAGAGGACCTCGGCAGCTTAACCATCATAATAGTAATAGGTATCATTACTTTACCTTATTATTTTATGATCCCACGTTTTATAAAGTCAATACATTATCCATATCACTCAGCTGAGTATACGCTTTCATGTTTAACGCAGGTCAGACCTACACGACATTATTTTTTCCGTCATTTTTATTGTTATTCCTCTCATTAGGGGCCAATCGAATGCAGGAATTTTATCCAATTTTCATCACAGCTTTTGTATTTACTAATTAATTAACTTTTTTTTAATTATATGTTTTTTAAAAGTCTTTTGATATGAATGATAAAATGTCATGATTTAAAAACTTTTTGATGAAATAATTAATGATATTAAGTATGGTTTTTCATAAAGTGTAATAATGGAGAAATTATGAAGAGTCTTTGAGCAAACAGTAGTAATTTTTCATCAGATTGACTGACAGAATGTATGATAATAATAAAATAGATGGATTTTGAACACACCTTTATTGACTACTGCTTTCTCTTATTGCAATTGTTGGTGATTTTAACTTATATACGATGTTGTTATCATAGTGTATAGCTGTAGTTAGCAAGAAAAGCATTAGGGTTATATGTTGCAGGTGAAATATTTGACACAAGTACCGTACATGTCTGACCCAAATAACCCTGAGGAAAGATCGTGATGATCAATTGCCGCTGTGTATACGCATCTCTTGCGATATATAACCTAACTATAACCTGACTGTGGTGCAGAGTCGTACTACTACCTTCTGACACGTACGATTTTTTGCTCAGTAGACGTTCCGCATTCCTCTTAAGAGCTTTCACACCCGTCGCGAGCTCACACTCACATCACACGAGGGATTGAATTGAATCATAAAATCATACATTATCATCAGACAGCATAAATTACTGTGACATTACTCACGTATTACTGTATTTAAATTTTGATTTCAGAATAAGCGGATCATATATTATTTACAACGTAAATATTTTAATTCTCTGCTTCATCAACCCAAAGCAAGTCCATGAATTTTAATCAGATTTTTTATTGCCGTACTTATGTATTTCAAAGTAATAAAGAGATTATTTTGGCATATGAAAAAAAAAAGAATCATCACTCACCTGCATCTGTAACCAGGAGTAGTCAATGTAAGCCGTGGTAGTGGTGGCAATTCCGGCAGTGCCATTAGGAGGATTTGGTTGCCAAGCATCCTGGGAAGAGTTGATCAACGTAAGTCCGTCGGGTTGACCTCGATCAGGAACTATTTGATCGGCATATTGATACGGTGGTTGAATAGTTGGTTGGCCAGCAGTGGGCAACGTGCTTGGATGATGATGGTGATGATGAGGATGATGATTATTATGATGATGATGATGATGATGATGATTAGAGGAAGAAGAAGGGTGCTGGACCCCCGAGCCGGCGCTGGGCTGCAAGCAGCACACGCTCACGTCCATCCGGGGGGGCGGCGAGTCGTAAAAGCCTCGCTGTTCCGGGTCTGGATGCTCCCAGACTGACCTCTCGAGGACGGTCTCCCGTGGAACCATTCAATTGCGCCCGGAAGAAGGACCTCTTCTTTTCTATTCTCTATATCACTCTCTTGAGGAGTGAGTTTATTTATACACACACGTGCAAATTGTAACAATGTTTAACAAATGACAAGTTCAAAACACTTTTATTAAACTGGTGACTGTTGCGTCAAGTCAAACACTTCACCTCGCGCTTAACTTTGTTACGGCACATGTCGACTGTCAATTGATCGAGCGACCGGGGAAAAAAGAGAAACAGAGAGAGAGAGAGAAAAAGGTTCAACGAGTTTGAACGATTGGCAAAAGGACCGGCATGTCTCCAGCTTGTTGAGAGAACCCGGAGACGCGCCGAAAAACCGGTTGAACTAAGTCCGCATCGGTGAAACTCTCACTCTTTCCCTGATGCAGTAAGTATATGTGTTTTATGTATTCACTTATTGGAGATGCAGATACTCCACACGTTGGTATGGCATGTGAGCAAGAAACACTCCGCGATGATCCACAACACCGGGCCAAATGACGTTTACAATGACAGCATGTCCTGGCGTAAATGTGACCACGAGGATGCTCTCTAGAAGTGGGGAGCACACAAGAGACACTCGAGTGGGAGAAGAATGAGAGGCGGTAGAGCACACGATTTTGTTGAAGACTAAGACAAGTTGTTTGATATCATTCACACACCAAGGATCGAGGATCCAACGCGCATGCGCACACACGCGTGTCGTCAAGGCAACGGTTCCGCGCTAACTGCTCGTCTCAACGCAGCACCAGCCGCATTCTCCTCACTTTGAGCAAGCCAGGCACGAGGTAAGGGATCTCCCTCGCTCACGCCCCAGGCGCGAGCGATCCTCGCAACTCGGCCTAGTCGGCCATCGAGCGTACACAGATATCTCTCGTGCTCCCTCTTACTCGCCAATCCCATCACATACATCTCAATCCTCTCACTCTCTTTCTCTCTCTCTCTTTTTACACAACTCGAGTGGGAGAAATGAATATATACATCGAGACACCGATAACCATGGCCATTCCGCCAACGCTCATTCGACATCACCTGGACAACCGAACAAATCCATGAGGGGTTGAAACCCCCTTGAGAATGTTCCCCATTAACTTATCGACTCATTCCCTTTTATCAACATTGCCCTTTTTTTTCTTCCTCTTTCTCTCTCTCTCTCTTGTTCAATTAATATATTTTCTCGTGCTCCAATGAAACATTATCCACAACGAGTGAACATTAATTGTTGAATATAATTGAATACCAAGCACATAACTATGTATATCTATATCCAAGTAATGTATTTATTCACAAACTCGCGGCATCCCTGTGGAGAAGGCGCGAAAGGAGCAAAGATTCCCTTTCTCTTTGAGATTGTGAAACTATTCTATCGCTTGCGCTTCTAAACATCACATTGGATTTATTATCTCTTATAGGCTTAGTTACGCAGATTACAACAAAGTGCAGATATTTCACATGACCTTCACAGTTACAGGGAAGCTCTTTGGTTCTCATCGTAAAGCCAAATACACCCCAGTCGAAAGAATAAATTGTAGTTAAATGTCTCGTTAGTGAAATAAGAAAATTCAACATAACAGTTGATATCAGATCGATCGCAAAAGTGCAAGAATAGTTTAGAAACAGAACAGGATTCACGTATATATATAACCTATATCTATTTATGCAACGAGGAAATGTTCTATTAACAACCAAGTATAAACATAATGTTTACATGTAATCATTTTCAAAGTTTATTTCATTTTCAGATAGAGCAGAGGGCTGCAGAGTTATTGTGTATACGATGGGAAAGCAATTATTGTAAATGTCTTATGACGTAAGACACTTCTGGATCATATTGGCTATTGATGTATGGATGAACAAGCATAGTGATCTAACAAAGACTCCGTCAAGACTAACAACTTGAGGATAATAGATAAAGAGCCTACCATGTATGTACTTATGAGAATAAGAGAGTAAAAAGATTCAAGACTTTACTGCGTCGCGTCGGTACGTAATAAAAGATACATTTCTTCCCTCCTCCTTTCTCATATACTTACTGCCACCTCCGCGTATATTTCCAGCCTGTGCTAGACATGCACGATCGGCAATAACCATATTTCACATACATTTATACGAACCTTCCGTTCCATTTACCTATACCAAGCTTATATTCATAGACCCCCCGCGATAGCTTCACCACCGAAGAAACGATAAATCTTTATTATTCTAGATGACGTGACGAACAACCTTTTAATTCCTACACCTACCCTTACTGGTTCATGTCGTTACAGTTCCTGGTGAACTTTCAAACGTTACCAGCAATCCTATTTTTACATATCATATTCCAGGTAACTCTTTTTTATCAATATGTTTCATTTAATTAAATTCTAGACCACATCATTGAAAGTATCAATGTTGAAATGAGAATTGATCCAATACAGGTTGAACAAAGTATGGTCCTAGTGCCCTTTAAATCAACTCTTTCTCTCTGCTATAATTGTATCAAGAGTATCTATCTAAAGGTTGATATGGAGCATCCCACCCTCGCTGATCTCCAAGGGAGTCCCCCTTATCTCCCCCCTGGGAGTAACGCAACTTATGAATGGGAGTGTAAGCCCATTGGCTAACAGATCCAACCAATAGCCTAGCGAGTTTCCTCTCCGATGCGGTACAAGCACCGCCGTTACAATCGTTAAAGAGTAAGAAGGAAGGAGAGAGACAAAAGGATTACGGAATCAGCTGTCAGACAGACGAATGGTGGAGTGCCTCGTGTTCGCCCCCGGGGAGAGAAGAAATTGCACGGCGTTGTCGCGAGAATATTTACGGCACTGCTTCTTTTGTTGAGAAGATGAAAAAGAAAGGGGAAGAAAAAATGGTTGTAATCATTTTTGTAGATTTTATCTAGATTTCTATGTATCGTATCAATATACAACGTAAGGCCATAGACCTGAATCAAGTCAGATCATTGGATTGGATATTTAATATCGTTGAGAAATAGATTCTTTGATAAATCGTTCAGTGGTCAGTAAAGTCTCTAAAACAGTTGTCATTTATTACATTGTTTGTTATATTACCTGAGAAGGATATCTATCCATACAAATGTACAGTAGAATTGTGTAATAACAATTAATCAGAACTAAAACTGATATGAAAAAAAAGATAAAGCATAAAATGATTGGTTTATAAAAGTGAAACTGAGAATTGATCGAGAACAAAGAAGAATATTAAATCGGCAAAAATGAAATTAATAAACATGACGATTGTAAGTGGTTGTTAGAGAACGTAATTAAGTAATTACCGGTGCAAATATGTCGATGGTATATAAGGAATATGCATCGATGCTATGTCTGACATTTGTGTTTGAAAGATATACCTGAAAAAGAAAAAAGAAATGAAATGCCACGTTGGTAATATACTCCATCATCGTGTGACCCCATTACCTTGACGTGCCCACCAGAAATTTTCACAGTACTCTGTCATAAAGACAATTGCCGGCGCACATCTTCCCTGTATTTAACATAAGTTAAGCGACGATTGTCTCAGCCAGGCATTTACAGTGATCGCACGCGTACACAAACATATAATATCCTCGACAATTTTCACGCAAGCGGTATATGTACACTAATTTAAATTGCGCAATGTTTGCATTCAAGTATGTATACTAGATGCAATGAGTGAGAGCTGCTGAATGTAAACTTTGTAAAATAACCTATGTTTATTAATTTCATAAATTTCATTCAATAGTTGTATACACATTTATCTTCAATAAGACATATAAATTTATTATATTTATTATGTATAACTCAAGAACTATAAAATATCACTTTCACTCAACATTTCTATTTCTGTTACAGTTATTTTTACTAACGCGTATTGGCTTTGTTTTGACCTTTACATTTTTCAAAATTTGGATTTATTGACATGGTAACAATGAATTCAAGATTCCTACTATTATCGTTTGTAAATGCAATCAAAATCAAAGAATATGACGTCATGTAGATGAACAAGTGTCGTAATATTATGATCACCTGAGATTAGTACATGTACCGACCGCATGTAGCGCTGCAATCGAATGAACATTTGATTGTTGAATTTTCTACACAATGAAAGGTATGTAATTGTTGATGAAGTAATTTTGCACTTGCTGTAATTAATTTTGTCCTATAAATAATTATTTTCTATAATAAAACAATTATATTCATCAGTATACATGCTGACTATTCAAAAATAGGTTAAATTGTAGTGCTTAATACAAATAACTTATATATTAAACTTTTTACAAGTTAAAATTACAAACTTTGCGCTTCTCATCATGATGGTGGGTATTTTTGTTTGACTTTAGATCTGTTAATAATAAGAGAATTATTCTTATCTACTGTTAATAACAATATTAATTGTTAGATAATTAATATTGACATATTACAGATAATGAACAGATTGGAGTATCAATTATAATGGTTAAAAAAATTGGAGTATTTGGTGCATATTATTTCTAAAAGTTGTTTACCCAGGATATTGTTTCTTTATTTCTATAAAAAATACTTTAATCAACAACGACAACTGCCGGCAAGCTGATCGAAGCTCCAAAACTACTGGGATGTTAGTCTAGCACTGAATATCTACGAACGTTTTTATTTTCTGATACAATTGCTCTCCGTCTTCTCTTTGCTATCTGGTCCATATCACAGCACCTTTCGATATGGCATTCAGATCATGTTGCTATTTATCTCTATTCTAATGTGGAAATTATCACAATACTGTGAAAAACATAAAATAGTAAATGAATTCAATTAAAATATATTAACTAATACGCTGGCTTAGTAGTGACAATTTTATGAAGAAGGAAGAAATCAAAATAACACTTTAATCCATGAGATAAATATCAAGATTATAAGTTTATTATCTTTACCCTGGGAACTTCGTATCACCCTGTGTCAAATAACATTTGCTTACGTAACAAAAATTATTTTTGCAATGATAAGACAACGATACTCAAGAGAAATTACTTGTGGATATGCTGTTAGTTGGTTTGTTGAAGAAGAAAAGAAATATTGAAGTAATGGAAAACAAATATAGAAATAATAAAGGAAACGAAGAATAAAAATATTTTCGAACGTTCAGTGACCTGATTATTCTCTTCTTGCTCAAGATAAAAAATTTGTTTAAAACTCAACTCATTTTAATGTTGGAGAATTTTCCCCTCTGTTAAGTTGTGAGTATCGAACTGACCACAACGACCACTTTTCAATCGATCGACCAACAGCTCGTTGAAACGAGCTATGACAGCAGTAGTCATGGAAAACGTAAATTGGAATCCTAGTAAGTAAATTTTATATTAATATAAATTATTTATCAAATTTTTTTATTGAATAATCTGTAAATAAAGTATCTTTTAAGCAATCACTTAATTCTTAATTTACTATTGAAGTTGAAAATTAATTTATTGATTTATCTAGTCTCCAGTATTGTTTCACATCCGTTCTAATTTTATTCTTCATAATGAAGCATATTATTTATTTAGTTTATTTATATTATTATTAAAATGTTTTTCTAAAAAATATTATTTTTTAGCGCTATCGAAGCTTCTCAATTCGTTGGAAGAAAATAGAACAGACATACCGAATTGTTCTGATGAAGAATTTGGCTTCTTGAGTGAATTACTAAGATCAAAAGAATTAAACGCTCTAGTTAACGTTCATAAAAAGATTCAAGCTAATGCTGAAGATGATAAATTCTTTCCTGTCCTTTCTAACTCAATGGATATTGATGCGGAAATACTTAACATGCTGTCCACAAAAACCCATAGTTCAGAACTGTGTAAAGAGTTATTTTATTTACTCCAAAAACCTCATATACAGGTAATTTAATTATAAAAATGTTTCATTGTGTTATTGTGTTTTATTTTTTTGTATTTGATAACTTGATGAATTCCACAGGGTTTACTTTGTACACATGATGCTGTTGCACAAAAAGATTATTATCCAAGACTGTCAGAAATTCCCATAGAAGTTGATGAAGACGAGGAAACGGTGAAAATTGTGCAGTTGGTGAAGTCAGATGAACCTCTGGTACGTCATAAAGATCGATCATTCGGTACCTGAACCAGATCGACGTGTATCGGCCTTTGAAATGGCTTTTAGCAATCATTATTATTACTTTTTGAGTAAACTAAACGTAATGAAACGCGTGAAGTGTGATTACTTAGATAAAATTAATACAACATACTATGATCTGAAACATCTTTAAATCCTGCATGAGTTTGAAACCTCTAAATTAAAGAGCCAATCTTCCAATATCTAAAAAGTATCCTTCTTTCTTAAAAAGCCATAAGGCTTGTAAATTTTTTTTCAATCCATAACATTCCCGCGAATTCTTCGCGATTCGCAGTGCGTTCCAAGTAATGACGTATTTTGTTTTATCCTCAAACTTGCCACGAAGAGCGGTGACGACGTTGAACCGATCCTGGTAAGTTTTCCCTTCGCTTTAGTTGCGTTTACTGGCTTTTAAATATGCAAATATTATCCAAAACAAAAGTTGAAACTATTCTACTTTTATTTATTGTAAATAAAATTCATCACAAGTAGGCTTAAATATAGTTTTTATTATTCATCTACACTAAAATCATTGAGACGTAATTTTTGTTAATTGTTTAATTGTTAAGTTACATTCTCAATCGTACTTTATATTTATTACAATTTCTTTTCTCATGATAAAAGGATGATTATTATTTAACATTGTTTGTTAAGTATAATTAGGAATATTTATATTTCAATCTTGCTCAATGATTTTTTAAATTTTTATTTTATTGTATATATACATAAATCCTTTCTTTTTTTTTTAATTGTAATGCATGATTATTGTGTATGTTTTTGCTGTACAAATAAAGCATTTTTTTGATTTTTAATTCTGTTTGTAATTATTTCAATTGTATATTCAAGCATGAACAGTGTATTCAGATCCTGTAAAAATACAGCGAGATATTTTATTTTTTTTTTCAGTTTCAAATATTTTTATTCCATCGTTTTTATCACAAAACACGTCTTATAAACGTCATGGTTGTTTTAGTTGACAAAAAATGTATTTTTTTCATTTGACAATATTATTTTACATTAATAATAGGGAGCTACATTAAAGACTTGTGAGAAGACGGGAAAAATAATAATAGCTCGAGTAATGCATGGAGGTGCTGCTGATAGATCTGGACTCATTCATGTTGGTGATCAAATTGTTGAAGTCAACGGAATAAATGTAGAAGATAAAACTCCTGGATGTGTTTTGAAAATTTTACAAAATTCCGAAGGGACACTAACATTCAAGCTCATTCCTGCTGAAAGCAAAGAGGGAATGAGAGAAAGTAAGGTATGAATACAATTTTTTATTAATATTTTTTCAATAAAACAAGTTAATCACGTATTTTTCCGTATTCTTCATCCGGTAAAATGAAAATAACTATTGTGATAGATCTATTTCTTTGAAATCCATTGAAATGGTTGTTTTTTTTATGAAGGTTCGAATGCGAGCTCACTTTTCTTACAAAGCTGCTGATGATCCTGAAGCGCCGTGTAAGGAAGCTGGACTTGACTTTAATAAGGGAGACGTGCTGCACATCGTATGCCAAGATGATCCTTATTGGTGGCAAGCACGTCGAGAAGGTGACAGAAATATGAGAGCTGGTTTGATACCCAGTCGAGCTTTTCAAGAGCGCAGGATTATCTTGGAACGCCAAAGGAAAAATAAGGATAAAAGTGATGATGAAAAAGATAACTTGAGTAAGAAATCAAGGATTAGACACGTTATATTAATGCTTTCAATATTCGTTAGATGATCCTTTAGACAGAAAATCCATGCAATCGAATTTTTTTTTCTCACTATATATTGTGAAGCTTTGTTTAAAAATTTTATTTTTCTAAAACAATAATCTAAAAAATCAATCATTAAAGCAATACTCTTAATCTATTCTTATAAATTGTGTTTAATTTACTGGCTGTGTTGATTTAAAAAATTAACAAAAAATTAATTGCATGTTACTAAAGGAGATTGTGAAGCTGTATTCATTAATTTTCTCATTAACACTTAACACAAATCGTTCCCTAACCCCGGTTGGTTAGGCTTGTGTTCTGTTCCAGTGCCTTTGCCCACATTGTGCCCCCGTCCTAGTACCTCTTTGCACGCTTCGCCTACAAAGTGCAACTTACAAGGAATTAAAACTAAAAAAATCATGTATGACGCTGCAGAAAACGACGATTTTGATCGCGAAGAGATAGCTACTTATGAGGAAGTTGCCAAGTTGTATCCGAGACCTGGCCTTTACCGTCCAGTCGTTCTTATTGGACCACCAGGAGTTGGGAGGAATGAACTCAAACGTAGACTTATGGCTACTGATCCTGATAAATATAAGACACCTGTACCATGTAAGATTAACATACAAAATAAAATAGCAGTATTAAATAAATATTATACTATTGGTTGAAATTTCTATTATAGACACGTCAAGACCACCAAGGCCTGGAGAAGTCGATGGAAAAGAATATTACTTTGTTACTCGAGAACAAATGGAAACGGAAATTGAATCAGGCAAATTTATCGAGTATGGAGAGTACAAAGGAAACCTCTATGGTACAAGTGCTGACAGTGTCAGTTCATTAGTTAATGCTGGCTACGTTTGTCTTCTCAATCCTCATTATCAAGCGCTTAAAATGCTTAGAAGACCTCAAATAAAACCATACGTCATTTATATTAAGCCTCCGAGATTTGAAATTCTCAAAGAAACTAGAAATGAAGCTAGAGCTCGGTCCACTTTTGATGAATCTAATTCGAGGGGATTTACAGATGACGAATTTCATGAGATTCTTCACAGTGCTGAAAGAATTGAATTTCTATATGCTCATTTCTTTGATGAAACAATCATCAATGCAGATTTACCGATTGCTTTTGAACAATTAGTAACGGCAATACATAGGGTTGAATCCGAACCACATTGGGTTCCCGCTTCTTGGGTCCAGTAAAGATTCAATTAACTATAAAATCATTATTTGCATTCTCACAATCTTGATTATGATATTGTAAATCGAAAATTTACAAAATTATAATTAATATCATTTTCACTTCGATACAAGTAAATAAGATTAACAATTAATTCAATCATTGAAACCTTTTCAGTTGATTATTAATTTATTGTATTCAACCGTAAAGCCTTTATTAATTATAAAAATATAGGAATTGGACAAATTGTCTTAATTATTTTTATTATTCATTATTTGTTTTATGAATAACAATTTTTTTTTTTTTAAATAACTTTGATTTCAGTTATTACATGAATTTTTACAATACTTTGTTCAATTAATTAATTCATAATTTTTTACTTAACATATTTTTTAAGAATCCTCACTGCCGAAGAAGTGTAACTTGATGATGACAACAAGAACGATTTATTATACTTACTGTATTATAAAACAAAAAATTTTAAAAATATTGTATAGAATAATTGAAATATTTTCTTCCAATACGAAATTAGTAATTTCACAATAAAAATTGATTGAAAATTAATTTTAAAAGTGAGAAAGAGTGAGAGAAAAGGCAAATGAAAAGTAACAGAGCTCTAATTGTTGTTAATTGTTGCCAAAAATTATAAAACAAAAGACATTGATGATTTATTACTAATTATTAAAATGAATTAATACAGAAGCTAATTATAGAAATAAATGTTTCACAGTTGTATTTTCCACTCAGCTATTTTCCACGTTGAAATATTTATTGTGAAAGAATAATTAGTCTAATAGTTAATTTGATTTAATAAAATAAATAACCTGTTATGAACTACTAATATTAATGAATGGATTGATTTATTAATAATTAAATGATTTATTGTTATTTCTATGAATCATCATTGATAAATTTCACATTGAATAGATGAATTTCAATGTAAAACAAAAAAAATATATATTAATAAAATGATGATGATAATACTAATTAAAATAAATTAGTTTTTTATTTATTTGATGGGAGATAAGTTTAGAATTAGAGTACACGTACTTTGACCACTTCCATGCAGTCACAGTAGAACAAGTCAAACATTTTGTCGCTTCTAATTTTCGAGGGCATATCAGAGCCGAAATAGAACACGAACGAAGCTTATTTCACGCGATCTGCCTTTACTTACTGACATTAAATTTTTTTTACATTTTTAAAAATAACAATATCATCACCATCAATCACAATCCTCTACAAAAATAATAACATACGTAAAATAATCAACTTCAAATAAATATAAAATTTAATTTTCTATAGTGACAAATAATTTACTTAATGTGCAGTGTCATGTGAAGAGGGAATAATTTAAGTTTAACGATGATATTAAAATGAAATACTGGATATTTAAATAAATAATTAAAAGTATTTAATTAAATATATTAATATTACTGTGAGTTTCTACCAAGCTACTCATTATAGTTAGTTGGTGCTGTCAGTTTATTTTTCACAGTGAGTTCGTCCTATCAAAAACCAAAAAACTCTCTCTCTACATTACTTCTTTCAAAGTTTGAACAAATATTAAATGTTACTTGCATAAAAACTAGTATCTCATGTTAAAAGTCAGTGTAATTATTCAATTTCATTGATAATCAGTTAAGTAAAGAGTGGAATTAAAAATTGAAAATTTAACGTTATCAATTGCATCAATTAAATTTGAAACTTTAAATCACTACTAGGTTGATGGAACCTTGACATAGATGTTTTTAAAATTCTTCTTTCCATCATATATTCTCAAGTTTTCATCAACGCCTAGCAAAACTTGCATCGATTAGAGTCGTTAACAGATCTACAAAGTATAACACGCGCGAGATAATTTCCAGGTAGAGGTATCGCCGCCTTACACCTGGGTGAGATTCGCGCTTGCGTGATTTTCGAGCTTGCAATTCAAACTTTCCAGTAGACAGTAGAATACATAAAGGTGAGCATCAAGAACATATCACGATGGTATTGAATCGGCGAATCGGGGATACCAATGCAGAAGAATCCAAGTCATCTACTTATCAGGTAAATACATCATGATAGTTTCTAAAAAAATTTTTTTATTATTAAATTGAAAGTTTGAATAAATTTAAAAATAATTGAATATTATTAGTGTAATTGGTATGCTGAATGTTAAAATAAATACCTGATAAATATCTTGACGATGAATATTAACAAGTATACGTCAATTTTCGTTTTAAGCTGATAGATTTATTTATAAACTTCAAAATATGACGATGAGCTTCCCTCTATGTGCAGCAGTTGTCGCTCGATTAAAGAGCATCTATACATCTTCGATGACATGAAGAGCGCAGCGATAAATCTAGTCATTAGTACGGTCAAGTCGTAGCTCAAGTTCCTGACCAAGTAAATGGACATTGAGGAACTTGGTATAAATCATGGAGAGAATAATGTTTACCTGAAGTATTTAATCAAATTTTTTTTATATTCATTTGCTTGCGTGATTTATCGGTAACAGTTCTGACCTTGAGCACGAAAGGTTGTTTTGAATGTGACCAAGCGTGGATTCTCTTTCACTTCATATGTTAGGATCCACCCTCTTGTCTCTGGAGAGTAGTCAAGCCCATATAACAAATGTATTTACATTTCAACATCAACTCTTGAAGAAAAAATTCATTTTTTCAAGTCCTAAAATATTTTAAAAAATTATTTTATATTTAATTAGTTAGGAATTTGATCAAGAATGTTTGATATAACATTACGTCAAACCATATCAAGTTTCACTTCACCTTGTAACTCTTAATCCCTAGAAGATCAACTATTGTAAACTCGTATTGTACGGAAAAATTCAAAGGAGCACTGGAGTAATCGATCATATTTTTATCTTTATTTGTCAACAGTGTAATTGTTTTGGAACAGATGGTGAGGAAAGTGAAGCCTAGTAAGACAAGAATTATAAACTGTTATCATTTAATACATTTCACAGTATTTACGATATTTCTTTCACTGTTGTACTTGAAAATAAAACAGAAAAAAAAACAAATTTAATTTTAGATTTATATATACTTTGTAATTTTTATGATTCACTAGGTTATCTAAATTCACTTCTATATTTTTAGATTAGATTTCAAAAAAAGAAATGAATGAATATTAGTTCTAATCAAATTCTTCATTATGTGAGACCGGAATGAGCTTGGGAGTGAAATTGATTGACATCAACCTCTTCTTCTCTGCTCTTCAACCCTCAGTTCAATCAACGTCTTCAGTAGCTAGCACGAAAGCCAATCAACTAATGTTTCCGCATGTCTTAAGCTTCTACAAATTTGATCCAATTCCAACTTGACAACTTATCACAGTTTCTCGATTGTTTTCTTCTAACAATAAAAAAAACCGTTAATTTGGAAGTTAAGTTTGCAAATGACGCCATCTACATTAAAATACGCGTGCGCAATAGATCTTTTCTTCAGTTGTAATTCTCATTCAAAAGTCATTCCATTATCTTCAAAGAATAAAACGTGATATATCATGTGTATTGAAAAGATCTCAAGAATGTCGTACTCTGACCCTGAACAATCATCATTTCAGCGTTTGATGGAGACGAGTACGACGACCGGACGACGATGGAATTTATCTGACGTCTCAACACACCGCGAGAGCATCATCGGCGTAACAAGTACGAGTGGTCAACAGCAAAAGCTCCCCACCTTCTACGAGCCCACCACTCATCAAGTAAGTACTTCTCTTTCTATCTATTTCTTTATATTCTTATTCTTCATCACATAATTCGCCCGCTTATTCGCTCATCGTTCGAGTTCGCGAGTGCTTGTCGAATCAGCAATCTATTTGTCAACATCATCAGCTTCTCACTCGTATTTGATCACTGTCATCTAACATACATTATTTTCAACCACCAGAAAGTCCATCGGATCCTTACTGAACATAAATCCAAGTCAAGAAGTCGAGAAAGAAACTCGAAAAGCTCTTCATCAGTTTGTGATCTTCCAAACTACGTTGTTGCTTCCAAAGGAAATTTATCACCCGGCTTTTTTGCGTTACGAGAAAGCTGTTCGAAAAATTGTTCAACTTTATCTGGAAAAGAAAAGAAGTGTTCTGAATCTCCATTAGCTAATAGTCGTGCCAATGATTTTGTGAGAACTGGTAAAGTTCATAAATCTAGTTCGAATAACTGGGAACGAAAAGGTGAATCAGATAAGTCTTCCTCAAGACCAAAAAGTGGAAAACATATCACCAAGTCTTCCAGTGTACCAATAAATCTAAAAGAAGGTAAGTCAGTGACATCTTTATTACTCGATAAAAGCCTTATTGTTATTTCATTTACACTGCAATTGTACTAAGTGTTTTCATTTTTTTCTTTGTCTATGTTGTGTTAGCGTTATGTCAAGACTTCAAGATATTTTTACCCAACACAAGTATTTTAAAAATCTTCAAAAATATGCATTACATTTCCATAAATAATACAATTGAATATTTATATAAATTAAAAAACGTGATAATTATTTATTTACAATTTAAAATATAAATATATAATTTATGCAGTCTATTATTAAAATGATTTTATTCTATTATTATTCGATCAAGAATATGAGATAAGCTTTATATACAGAAAACATATTGAAATATAAGTCACGTGAAAATGACTTTCTTTAGGCAAGAAAATTGAATTTATGTTAATTTACCTCTTTCAATCCTTCATAAATTTAACGTATTATTTAATATAAAGATGAATGTTTTATTTTATAACTTTTATGACAATATTAATGATAATAACAGTAACCATAAAAATGCTACGTCAAATTCATTCCCACCTTCATCAACAATAACTTTTATGTTAGTCAAATTGTTTATATAATTTACTCACGCATCTAGTGATTGATCTATATTTAATACTACTGTTACAGGATTAGGAACTGGTCCACCTGATAAAACATCAAATGATAAGACATTAAAAAAATCGTCATTTGAAAAAATTGTAGAAAATAAAAGTGAAGTGAATTCAACATCTACCAAGAAGAAGAGTAATTCATCCAATTCACGTCCTAATCGTCCAGTGATTAATTTTAAAAAATCTTCAAGTCGTCATACGTTGAATTCAGAAAGTGTAGTGAAACCAAACACTAAAACTTCATCAATTGATTGGTGTGAAGCAAGAAAAAAAGTGTCTTTTAGTTCTGATACAAGTTTTACTGAAAAAAAAATATCAAAAAAATCAACAGCAATTCATGAATCTAAAATTTACCATAAGGGTGTCTTGAGAGGTAAGCATTGTGATAAATAATAGATAAAAAAAATTCTTAGATTATTTTTTCAAACAAGGAAGAATGTATTTATTGAATTTAATTGTTCTAATTTACCTTGAAGACATCAGCAGTACTAATCCCAAGAAGAGATCATTTAAATCCGCTTCTGGAGAAACAATGAGCCAAACACTTTTACGAGCTGCTCGTGATGCTGATGAATTTGCTCTCAATGACATCATATCAAGGATACGAAGGTGTAATCTCAGTTCTATCGATGTTAATATCACCGATTCAAGTGGCAGGGTATGATTTGTCTTATCAAATCCCTCTAATTTACACATTCAATTATATTTTATTCATTATAATTGTCTGTCGTCACTTTGTTTTATATTACACAAAACTATTTTTCAATTCTAGATAAATCTAAATCTTCAATCATAATATAAATGATCAAATTAAATGATTCTATTAAATTGACTCGCGTGAGTAAAAGGTCTGATCAAGTAGTGATCGATATCAGTTACATTCTTATTTTCTCACGCGATAATATACACTTTGTTAAACGATAAATCTGCTGAATTTTTTTTTTTGTTACTTTCTGAGAAAATTTATGATTAGAAAACGATGATACTTTAAAGTATTTTTAAGATTCATTGACGTTATTAGTTGCTACGTAGGCCAAACATGTTATGTCTACATTTATACGCAGTTAAAATTCAAACATTATCATCAGTTCTTTCAAAAGATACTTAAAATTCTTGAACATTCATTTCAGAACAATTAAGTCGTTTTTAAAATAATAAATCTATTAATATATAATAGAGTAAAAATCATTTTTCCTTATTTTGTAAAGAATAGTATTATTATGTTCACTTATATTTTTATTACTTCCTCATTTTTAACATTACAAAAATATGAAATATCATAATGTTATATTGTTAATGATTTAAATAAAATCTATCCAACATTTTATGATTTAATTCATTCAAATTTGCTTGCATGACTTTGAACACTTTTTTATTCAAAGAATTTAAATCTTTGTTGTTTTCATTTAGAGTTGTTTTACATCTATATTTCTTGCATCTTTTTGTTATTGCTACTCATTTTTCATAGTTCAGTGCTTAGCATTGTTTTCTTTTGCAGCTTTGAATATTGAAACAGTAAAGTACTGCTTTTGAAAATAGATCGAAATACTAACAGTGGAATGTAGAAAACCTTGACCGTGTCTTTGATTCTATAGAACAACACTGACCCAAATGATTCCCATATATTTCTTTAGTGATTTATATCTAAAAAAAAAGAATTCTAATGAAATAATGAAATTTAGGTATAAAAATGCTTTCTGTTATTCAATATAAAGATTGTATTTAATTGAATGAATGACAGCAATAGTTTGCAAACAGCAGATGTTTGTGTGATACCATTGATTATCGTTTATGAGATAAAAATATCAAATAACTGTAAAAACAATTATCAATTGGCTTTAAATAATATATTATAATTACAATTATATAAAGCATTGAAATATCATGTAAAATTATAGGTAACACAACATAGAACCTGAGAAGATTGAATCTCAACTTCTGGATTTACGTAATGAATTCAGTTTATACTTAATACTTAATAATAAGCTGAAGCCACAGAATTCTGTATTAATACTCTAATACGCAAGAACGAGATGTAATAGTTTATTTATGTGTCCTCAGAGTGCGATAAGCTACATGGCGGGTAATGGATCAGCAGATGTACTAGAAATTGTTCTATCTTACTCCAATGCTAATCCAAATCTTCCGGATAATGAAGGCAATACACCACTCCATTTTGCAGCTCAAGCTGGTAATTAATTTCCTCAAACAATAATTAATCATAATGATTTAATAAATTAATAAAATAGGAAATAATCAATTAACGAACTGTAATTATTAGGACAAGCTGAGTGTCTAAATATTCTTCTTCAAAAGAGTTCAGGTATTGAACTTGATGCTCGTAATGTCCTTGGCTTCACTCCCCTCATGAAGGCTGCTCTTCAAGGCCGAACTAAGTGCGCCAAAATTCTCCTGTTTGCTGGTTTGTGACCTTCTCTTTCTTGAATCAATATCAAGATATTTGTTAAATTTAATATTTTTCTGTCAGGAGCTAATCCAACTTTAAGGGACCACGGAAGAGGTTTTCGAGCGGAACAGTGGGCAAGGTTCTGTGGTCGACACGTCTGTGCTGAGGTAATTGAAAGATTCACTAGACACAAACTTATCGAGAAATCTTCTTGTCGGTGGGGCAGTGAACCAGAACTTGCAACCAAAGTACTTCAAGGAAAAGTAAATATATGAATAAATAAAATTAAATGATGAATATTGGTTGTAATTTATGTATTTTTATAGATTATTCCAGTACCGTTGAACCAACCATCAGCAGCATCATCTGGATTAAAATCTAGAATAAAACGAGTTTTTAGAAATCCTCATTCTGATAAAAGCTTTTCATTGGTTTCGCAATTAACTAATGCAGCTCTTTGCGCCAGTTCTCCAGTACTTCCAAAACCAGGTGATGTTTCTTCTGCCAAAGATGTTATTCGTCCTTTAAATGTACCACAATTAAGGTAAAAATGTTTACTTACTTTTTATGTTGATAATTTTTTTTATTTATACAGTATATAAGTCAATTTAACAAAATAACTTGATTTTAGAATAACTTTAGTCGCTTCAATGGATATTCTAGAAAAGTGTGAAGTCAATTATTCAGAACCTGAAACGGCAAAACCATCCAGAGTAAAGAAAAAAAATACATAGCATCTATTGCGATCACTGAAAATGGTAAATTGTTGTGGATTACATAATACCTCCGTGATTGAAGAGATAGATAAGTTTAAAGCTCGCTGGACAAACTTAAGCTAATCCAGCTGGTTTATATTCGTTGACTATAAATCATTGTGGCTTCCTTGGTCTCCTACAAACGTTTCTCAGACTTTATGACTGACTGATCAAATTTTTCCAAGTCTTTACATTGTAACGTATAAACATTCTCTAACTATCTTTAGATTATGAAAATATTAAAAGCTTCAGCTAAATTTTTTCGTTACATCATCCTTCAAGTACAGTATGATCATTTATCACTACTTATTAATTTACCAATAATCACAATAATAATTATGATCTAAATAAGTAATATAACAAAAAACTGATTTTGAATAAAATATTTTCATATAAAAAAACTCATCAGCAAAGAATTCTCTACTAAATGAATAATAAATAATTATTATTGAAAAATCAATTATATAATAATCAAGTCTTTAATGAAAATAATATATATAAATATATGCGTACGAATATATCGTTTTTATCTATAAAATTATTAAAATTGTGCATTAGCACGGACGGAAGTTTATCAGATACTAAAGTAGGCTAAAAAAAATTTCCTATGCTCAGTATCATCCAGCACGTCGATTTCGTCGTTGTCGACGATTTTTTGTACTCGACAAAATTTCATAAGCCTGTTGAATCTCCATGAACCTTTCTTGAGCCGCTCTTCGTTCCTCATCAGAACCTTTCACCTTGTCAGGATGATATTCTTTGGATAGACTTCTCCACTTGGCTGTGATTTCACTTTCTGAGGCAGTTTGTGAGAGACCTAGCACCTAGAAAAATAACATTTTAGATAGAATAATTCAATTTATTTCTGTAACAAATATAAAAATATTATTAAGATTTCTGTATAAATAGTTGATTTCTATAAAAATATTAAATGTATTGATGGCTTTTTTTTACTATTTTAATATAAAAAATATACTACAATAATTTTTGAATAAAAATTGAACTTTTTCTGAATGAACTTTTAGAAAATAATAACAATTAAATTTTTAAATATTATTTAATCCTTTAAAGTAATTACAACTATTTTATACGAACCCTATATGCATTTATCTCTCCTCGAAGATCAGACATATCAATTAACTGGTGCCATGTGGCCCAAAATCCCTGATTCTTCATTTGTTCCCATGTCGACCATAAAGTAGTCTACCAACAATTACAAAAATTAAAATAAATAATGTTTAAAGATTTTTTATATTATATTATTTTGTTGTAAACATCAAATGTTTGAAATTTTACTCTACCTTTAAATCTAACCAAATTGGAGACGTGAAGAAATGCTTTACAGCTTCTGACAAGCGTATTTCTTCTCCATCGCTATCGGTAACAACAGCATTGAAATAAAAATAACTTGTCCAGAGACTTAAGTATAAACAAATAGCACAAGATAACGCTAAGCATCGTTTCATTGGAGAACGTTTTTCTCGTGGTTTTAAACGCCATTTTTTACTAAAAGTATCAAAGGCAAGAGTAGTTAGAACAACCATCAAACTTAACCATGTGCTGTCATCTCCAATATAATATAATGTTGGATATATCATGTATGCAGTAACAAGTGAAACCCAAAGTGAACCTTCTTCTCTGCCAATATTTCCAACAACCCATACCCCTGAAATTATTAATTCTCAGTAAATTAAAATTATTTATATTATTGAGGATTATAGTACAATGTTTATCTATTATAAAATTAATTATTTATAAATTCAGCTAACAGCAATTCCAAGATAGTAAAATACATTGTCATTTACATGATCTATACTAGTTGATAAAAAGCTATATAAATACCTAAAGCAACACTAAATGGAACGAGGATCATCAAAGGTCGCAAGTTCATTCCATAAATTTCTTCTTGTGGTATAGCCATCCATGTTAATTGGCCCCAAATGTAACTAATTATAATAGCACCAACAAAACGAACTGTAGAAAACGGTGGCTAAAATTGAATTCATTCAATAAATTAATTCAGTTTTTAATTTTTAATGAGCTGCAATTTTTTTTATTGGTATTATAGTAAAAAAAAAATATATACCTTTTTATTGTGACGGACATTGAATTTGAACCACTCTACATATTTGGGATGGTCATTAGCATCATCAACATAAGTAGGAATTTTGAAAAAATCTCGAAGCCAACCAATACCAAAATATCCCCCTAAAGTTGAAAACCAGATAAAAGCATGCGCATCACGGCCCAAATAAAGATGATGTGCTCCAAATAAACCGCCAAAAAACCACCAAAAATATGCCCAAAATCTAGACTTCATCTTCTTCTCGTTAACACTTTGAAATGAATTTATTTCATCACTTTTATTTGTTCCATTCGAATGAACGATCCCATTTTCTCGCTTTCCTTTAGTTACAGTCATTGAGGAAGACTTAGTTTTTCTTTTTAAACTGTCAATTTCTGGAAAATTTCACGAGCTTTATCAGTAACTTAGACCTTCACAAATGATAAGAAAATTATAAGAATTATGGCTTATGACTCATAAACTATTGGCACTGCCTTTGGAAATTTAAATTCACTAGCAATACACTATGTTATTTGTATGTCATGGTAATTGTTTACTTAAAAGTCACATTACATATCAAATTAAAGATTTTTTATATGTTATAATATTTTTAGTACCTTTATAACTAAGTATATTTCAACAAAAGCCCGAAATAAATTCTAAAAAAGTTAACAAAAAAATTTTACTCTCATTAACTCGTGTGTCACTTAAAAATGACACGTAATCACAACTGTTCGATTGAGAACATTAACAATCACAATTAGTTAAACTTAGTTAAAATGTTTCAGCAATACAATAAGAACTGGTTCAATGTACCTCAGTATTAGAATGATGAAAGAATTCGAATGAATAACGGTATAAGTCTGACGTGGAAAGAGGAGGTCCTCCTTTGACTTCCGAGTTCTCTCAAGGCTTCCAATGTGCTCTTGACCGTGATAATCATACCTAAATGTATATATACACAGTTCCAAGAATATTCAGGTAAAGTATTACACGTGGTTGAATCGATTCACATTCAGATTCTGTATTATATACTTCAAAATAAATATTAAAATAAAATTTCCAAAAAATATATAATCTTGATTTAATTATTGAACATCAAAATCACTCGGAAAGAAATATTTACTTTTTGGATATTGATTCATAAAAAAATCGATCAAAAACTTGTGCAGGTAATTTTAACACATGATTTTGTTAAGTACATGGAATGATTTATGCTTATTAATATATTAAAACATTGATTTTAAATAATAATATATATTATATTGTTCTTTCATTGTGATATAATCTAAAAATTTTTATTAATTATTTGTGACAATATATCTTATGAATTTTCAAAAACTGGAATGAGTATTTTGTTTGTTGACATTTCACGCTATCAGAAATACATACACTGTTTTATCTACAGTAGTATGAAATTTTAATTTTCACTCATTCTGTATTCAAAATGGCGGATGTTATGAATCAATGCGTGCATAACAATATTGACCGGTGGAAAGTTGATGAAAATAAATGTTTTTTGCACATTTGTATAATAAAATATTGTTTTAGTGATAAGTAGTAATATAGAAATGAATAAAAAACAATCATTAAGCCATAAAGAATGGAGAAGAATTGCAAAAAAAGAACGAAGAAGACGTATTAGACGTAAAATTGCTCAAGAAAGAGATGCTGATGAAGATCGTTTGAGGGCGACACTAGAAAAAAGCGCGGATTATTTGAATTGGGTAGAAGAACAAGAGAGGTTAAATGAAGAGAAAGAAAAAAAAGAACATGAAGAAAACGAAAGACGATGGATTGAAGCTGAGGTAATTATTATTTTTTATACATGGAATTTATTAAATCATAAAGAATTTTATATATCTTTGTTATTCAAATTTTTTTATAGCTAAAAGCACAACAAGAATGGAAAGAACTTCAACTTCGTAAAATGAAAGCTCGACAAGAACAATTGCAACAAGAAGAAAAAATTAGAAAGGAATTCGAAGCTAAGCAAGAAGCTGTAAGAAAGAAGAATGAAGAATTAAAACTCAAACAAGAAGAGGAGCTCAGACGTCAAGAACAAATACAGAGGGAAATTGATGATTACATTGATAATGGAGCTAAAACTCCAGAAGCTTTACAAGTGGTTATTGATAGTCAGCCTGGTAAAGAAATTTGTCCATTTTTCTCTAAAACTGCAGCTTGTAAATACGGAGATTCTTGTTCAAGGAATCATAGAAGAAGTGCTTTGACAAAAATAATTATTATTCCCGGTTTCTATAGTCATTTTTCGTTGGAAAAAAATTCTGCTGAATATGATACAGATATAGGTTTAGAATTCGAACTTGTAGAAACGCGTAAACATTTCAGAGAATTTTATAAAGATGTTGTACCAGAGCTAGAAAGTTATGGAAAAATAAAAACACTGAAGTGTTGTTGCAATAGTGAAGTACATTTACGAGGGAATTTGTATGTTGAATATTACGATAAAAGAGATGCTGCAAGAGCTTGGAGACAACTAAAAGGTCGTTGGTATGCAGGTAGACAACTTAATTGTGAATTTGCTAATTTTAAATCATGGAGAAATGCAGTCTGTGGAATGAATAAGTGCCCTAAAGGTCGTTCATGCAATTATTTACATACATTTACAAACTATACTGCTGATTATGATATAAAAAGTCCACCAAGGCGATCTAAAAATTCAGAAAGAGAATTAACAAGCAGTAGACGAAGTAAAATGTCTTTTGATGAATCTATAAAAAGTGATTTTAATTATCATCGCAATTGGAGGTGGTCAGAGTCACCTGAAATAGAAAGAAATAATTCACCATCTTATTCCCAAAGTTGGGATAGATGCACTGAAGATTTTAGAGAAGAACATAAACAGCTTGACCATTATAAAAGGTCAAATTCTCAAAGCTCTCGATCGAAAAACCGTAAAAAGTATTCACGGTCTCCACAGTCTTCAAGGTCTTCTAGATCATTATCACGATCTCGCAGCAAGAAAAAAAAGCGGAGACGCTCAAATGAAAATGAACATAAAGATTGTTCTAAAAAAAATTCTGATACTGACAAAGAAAACGGAAGTAATTCTAAAAAAATAAAATCTCATGAGAAATTACAGAATAAATCAGAATTAATAACCGAAGATAATAGCAAAAAAAATGTGATAGTGCCAAATAATGAATTATTACAAAAATTAGACGATCGCAGTAATGAGATCATTGATATGTCACGAATAAAAGAGATGGAAAGCCAAAATAATTGGGATACTACAGATTCTGAGGAATATAATGATGATGATTAATTGTGTATTCCATGTGTGTATTATTTTAAGATTATTCAATTATAAATGTCATACTAGTCCATTGATAAGTGATCTACATTAAAAAAAAATGAAAAATATTAAAATCAACAAGCTCAAGATAAAATATTTTTTATAACATGTACAACAGATTAGTATGGATGTATAAAATAAATAGAAAGGTACGTGAAATATTTGTGTGTTGTTTTTGCTTTATTATTGTCATGTATAGCTACATAGAAGTATTGTGCAAAGCACAACGAATAAAATCATGATAAATTTTTTGAAATTTCTTTCAACTTGAAGGTGCACTTACTAATATAGCTTAATGCTTGTGAGATAAATGGAGTACATTGTATTGCCATTTAATAATCTACTATTCTCAAATAAATACAATTCAAGAATAGCCCTTATTAAATTTGTAAAAAATCAGTAATTAAACTTAAGTCTTATTATTATTATTATAATACGAAAGGGATGAGTCTATTTGTCTAAATCAAGTGAGAATAAAAATTCATTAACGAATTTAAAGACATAGATTGTCAATCAACTTCTAATTTTCTAAAAGAGCCAGAGATTCCGTGAATCGTAGAGTCGCTTGAACCAACGTCAGCACAACCAAAGCCTTGTTTTAAAGCTGATACTGCACCTTCCCGGGCTTTTTCAGAGTACAAATGTAGACGGACTCGCATCCTATCATGACTGAGGAGCGTTGGTTTTAATTCTACGAGCTCCTTTCGCCAGAGATCTTAAATAAATTAACAATCATTAAAACAATTATAATATCAATTAGAGACATTTCTTATACTAAAAGAGTTTAATTCTCAATTTCACTAGATAATTAACATCATTAAGCTCGGTTCATGTAACACTTTAATTATTAGATTATATAAATGTATTTAAACTCTTCTTTATTTTAATTTTAACAGACTTAAAATTTTTTCTTACCAATCATTTCTTTCATAGGCATGGTACCACCATACTCTTTTGGCAACATGCTGGCATCCATTTTATTATTTAATGCATCTTCGAGACTGGTATATAATTTAACCCGTTTCCTGATCTTTTCTGAGATCAAGGACATACCGAAATCCAAGGCAAACTTCAAAGAAGGATGTGCGTTTATTGCGTGTACTTCTTTATGCCTCATTGGAACTGTACGCTACAAAAAAAAATTTGAAATTCTCATTAAAACAAATATTATTTCTATTTCTTAAATTAACATCTTTCTTAAATTTGTACATTAGTATTCCACTTTCACTAATTTGATGAAATTCATGTTTGACAAAGACTACTTTATATTAATAAAAAATTTCTTCAACTCAAAATCAATCGAATTTGCATCATCTATTGAAGAAGAAGAAGAAGAACCGGTTTTTTAAAACCGATCATTACCAAAATGTGTCGGTTATGTGAATATGGCCTTGGATTGATTAACCAACCCAAACTTTTGAAAGAATAAGTTAAAATGAAAGGTGTACGATGTTATGTCTTATTTTTTTTTCACCACAGGATATTTCTTTCTTATATAATATATTCATTATTCAATATCCTACCATAATATTAAATTGATGTTTTGTTTGCTAATTTTGTTTTTTTTTTTTGTATCATCATACATACCTCACCATTTTTGACGATACGAACTGCTTCACGAGGTGTGAATAGGGTTAAATGAGGAAAGCTAACTCCAGCACCATCAGCAAAATGAACAAAGCCGCGTACTTGACTTTCTTCGTCTTCCATGAGAGCTTCATATGTAATGGCATGAATTTTGCACATGTCTGCATTAGTGAATTTATAAGGATCAAAAACACCTGAAAGAAAATATTAAATAAAAATAATTCAACCTGAAAATGTGAGTGGAAGTGAGTCCAATGATATTAAAATTATCAGAATGATTTTCTTCAAGCTTCAAATGTAAATAATTTATGTTCTATTCAATGAATAGGTACTTTGGCACACCCATTAAATAATACTTATATCTTACATAAGTTAACAACTTATAAAATGTAAAATTTCTTGATTTTACAAATGCCAATAGATAATATTACTTACCAGGTCTAGCCACTATTACCCGACGACCTTGAGCATCTCGACCAGGCACAGCAAAAATATATCTGACAAAGGTAAATATTCAATATTATGCAAATTTTTGGGTTTCTTGGTTTTTATTATACACCTACCCAAGTGATAGTAGTTCTTCCATATTAGGTTCTGTGATGTCTAATTTAGTAAATGCTGGATGGTAAACTTGTCGGAGCAAAAGATATCTTTCTGTAGCCTCTTGAGCCATGGGTACATTAAACTTCTTTGTTCTTAAGAATCTCAGAAGGAATCGAGCATCTAATTTGAATAAAATTAATCATATTTTGATTTAAAAAAAATTCAAAGCAAGAATGCATCCATTTAATAATAGATTGGTATAAAATAAATAATAAATTAAAATTTAATTAATATAATTAATCAATCTTACCAAGGCGAGAATTTTCAATTCTTGGATTAAGTTTAATCCAATTTCGCATTTGTTCCAATGCTTGATCACGAGTATTTTTGTCTTCTCTAAGTTCCTCTTTGGCCAATTTTTGAGTTTCTTCTGACAAAGGACATTGATAGTCATCAGCTTCAGTAATCCATTCGATTGCGCCCATGGTTAATTTTTATTTTAATCTTTTTCTCCTTGTAATTGATCCTTGAAAATGACCTAAGCAAAAAAGTAGTATGAATGTAAGAGAAATACAAGTCAAGGAAAAAAACAAAGAAAGTAATGTAGGTCAACGTTCAATCAGCCGGACTATTAGCAGTCAGGCACTTTCACTTTTCCGGGTTAGCTTTACGACCTCAAAACCCAGTATATTACTATATTCCTAGTGTCAAAAGATAAAAGTTGATAAAGTGTCATACTCCAGAAAACATATAGGAAAAAACCTTGAAATTAATGAAAAAAAAATATTACAGTGGAATCAAATGTAATATATGTGTAAGATGTTATGATATAACTGTTTTAAGGATAACATAAAAGACGTAATCATCGATCCAATATGAACACTCGTATGATTGTTGTTCCGTAATAACTTTCTCCTGTTATGCAATTAAACTTAAGTATGGGTTGTTCACCCATACACCATCTCTTTGCTCTGAGTCACTGGGTCTCCAATTCCAACATCAAATAGGTACATTCAATAATAAACATAATATTAATTTATCAACTCTCTAAAACATAACAAGCATTCACTCAGTTTTTTTTTTGTTTGCAGATACAAAGTATAATGGAATTGTACTTTTATAACAAAAAAATCACTTTTAAATCATCTCAACAAGATCATTGAACAAAAAAAAAAATTCATCATCATGAGTTATTGATTATTCTTGAGAATAAATACTTTATCTACGTAAACAGTTCAATAATTAATTAAACGTGTTTCATTTAGAATAAAATACAAATTAATTATGTAAATTTTCGTCTTTAAAAAATAAATTGTCATTGATTGGAGTCATAAACAACAGTAAATTTTTTTCTGCAAAATTATATAAACAGTTTATAATGTAAGTAATTTTGTTTCATGTTACTAAAAGATATCCTTGATCAACAAACTATTTGGCATGGAATATCCTTGGTAAATAAAATCTAAGATAAAAAGTTTGATGTCCTGTTTTCCATTAATCTGTTGTGAATTTCAATGAAAAAATTGCCCTTGATTTTCGAACAAATGTCATTCTTTCTCGTTCGACTATCAAGTTCAACGAGTAATCGAGGACTGATTGAAATTCACAATGAAGTGTGAGCTCGATCAGGATAATACTCATCGATAAGATTGAATATTTACTAGTAAATTATGACCCCGACATCATCTATAAAGAAGCTTTTGAATAATAAATAAATTGTGTGTAATCATTACTCATCATTGTAAATGAAAAAAATATAAATAATTATTTGTTCTTTTTTCAAGTCAACTAAAATTCAATAAAAATATCTGATAATTAATTTTTTTTCTGTGAAAACTGATCCAGAATGTTAAAATGATCTAATTGATGATAGGAAGTAAATGTATATTGTTCTCTATTTTCACACATAAAATACTTTGCATAATAACTCCAGTAATTTGTGATGAGATAATGTAACAAAGTTATAATTAACATGAATAATAGAGTGTAATAAAAAAATAGATCAAAAACGTGTCTGAATAATTATGATAGTAGAGATAGAGAATTCACAGTAATTGTTATTACGTCTTAATTATCTCACTTATGCAAAGCTATTGCACGAATGCATGTTACGTTTTACCCTATGTTTCTTATCTAACTATTACAGTAACCATAATCAATTTAAAATCATACACTCAACTATTTTGTCATTTGTTCATTAATTAACAATGAGACAGTCAATTATCAAATAATTAGTTTAACATATAAATAATTATATATTATAATGAGAAATTTTTAATAATTTTTTAAATTATACACTTTTGAGAATTGATTTAGAAACACATAATTGAGTTGATAAGAAATATAAAATATATTAAATAAAACTTGAAATAAAGAACACATGCACGTACCCTAAACGGTGCTCTCGTGCGGCAAACTTGGAAGCGACTCCCCTTTCGCTGAGGCCGATCACTCTTTTATAATTTAGAGGAACTCGACTGAGTCTTCTCCTTCTCTTGTCGAGAATTACTCGTGGCTTTTAGCGATCAGTTGTCAACTTTTACGATCAACTTATTACTACAGAGTTATCAAACGACAATTCCAAATTACTTTATGTCATTTGTTATGAAAAAAAAAAAATAGACTTAGAACTACTGGTGAACAATTTGAAAGTATAAATCTAGTGTTTAACAAACATTTTATCATCTTAGACTAATGTAAAATGATAATTGATATTATGTCAATACAATTGTTTTAAGTGTTAAATAATATAACGTAACTTTTTACACATAATTTTAAAATTACTCTATGTAATTATCTTATTACTATTATTTACATTTATAAATAATCTAATTATTTTTATAATTATATTAAAATTTATGAACAATAATTGTTGTACGTTTTCTTTTGTTCTAGACGCATAAAAAGGAGAAAAGAACTTGAGAACCAGTGAAAGTTTTCCAAGTATGATAAAACTCCACTTTTATAAGGCTCTTTATTTGATAATATCTTCACCAAAGATGGATTTTTTAAAGAATAAAATATTATCTAATTTTATTGCAAAATAAACTATTAAACAAAATAATTGAATTTAAAAATAACGTTAAAATATTTCTAACGTAACAAGAATGTTTTTAATTAAAAATTTTCATTAAATTAATTACTCATTGTTTCGAATGAAATGAAAAAAAATTCAAAAGCACACATGTACTTGTGCTTTGTTATATCATTGAATTTTATTGCTTTGAAGGTATATGTAATAGGTATATACGAAGTCATTATTTTTTTCTTCATACAAACATAAAAATCCATAAATATAATGATTAGAATGTAATGATCCATAAAAAATATTCGAAGCATGATCACAAATGATGGATTCAAATATCATGAAAAGAGCACTGCACCATTTTTTTTCTATTTCCTTTATACTAATACCATACTTAGAAATAAAACTTTCTTTTAATTCAATTTTTTCATTTTGCATAACTGACTGAACGTAATAATATGTAACGCAATACTCACTTTCCTACAATTTCATGTGTACCCAACATCTGACACGCAATATTCAAGGGAGTCCTGATGTTGCCACTTCGCAATAATCAAAAAGTGAAATGTAATTGTACTAAAAGGATAAAAGACTAATTTATTTAGATAAACTGTCTAATTAAAAATTTATGTTTTCATAATTCAATTAAAACTGTTCCAGAAAGTTAACTATTGTAGAAAAAAAATTTTTTAATGAATGCTGTACATAATTATTGTTTTAATAAAATTATACAACTTTGTAACCAACCAGTGTTTATTGAGATAGTATAAAAATAACAACTCACTTTTGATATCACTTATAATTTGAAAAGGTATTGATTACAGTGTTGAATTCATATAAAGTTGAACTTTAGCGTATGCTCCTTTACATCCGCTATTAGCAGTTACAAGACTCTTCCTTACTTCTTCGAACTGTTGACCGCTCAATTTAATATTATTCTTCCTTGCTTCCTTTTCAATGCAAGCATCAATAACTTTTAATGATAGACATTTGAAACCAATTATCTTAACAGGAATGTTTTCTTGAGAAAATAAATTTTCAACTTTTTTAATATTCACATTTAAATCGAGCGATCTAACAAGATGATCATCAATTGTTTGAGGATTTATTATAGCAAGAATAATAACACAAGGCCTCTCTTTGTGATCATTAAAATATTTAACAAATTCAATTAATTCTTCAAGATGATTAGATTTAAGATTTTCAAGTATCACTAAATTACATTGAAGATTTGATAAAGCATCGTAAGCAGGTACAATAGAATCCTGGAGTGGTGGAGTATATTCAAAAACATTATGCGGATGAGGGAAATGATTTACAATTATTTCTTTAGTGAAGCTTTTCCCAACTCCTGTTCCACCGATAAAAACAACAACACTAAAATTATCTGCATTATGATAAAAATGTTCAAGTAACTGATTCATTGCTTCATCTTGACCAAGTACATTATTTTGAAGTTCCAGACTTACATTAGTAAAATCGAAAGGCATCTCCTTGGTATTATATAGTAAACCAGGAAATATTAAAGCAATGAAACTGACTAGTAAAATTATTCCGAATTGAACATATCTTTTTTTTGATTGGCTTGATTCTTGAATCACTTCCTGAGGTATTAACGATCGAAGATTTTTTTTAACTTGAGAATAATCTAGAATTTTATTTTGAATATTCGACTTGTTGGAATCACCCTGGTGCTCAACATTTTCTTTTATTAATAATGAAGGTTTTTTGTAGTTTATTGCCGGTCGACTAGTATTTGATGAAACATCTGTTGCTGATAGTATTTTTTCTGTTTTGATCACTGAATTTTTTTCGACAGATTTATGATCAGAGATTTTTAATTCATTCAATGCTAAAAAGTCGGAAGACTCCGTAGTTGCATCTACTTTTTCTTTTTTAATATTCATCTTCATTAAATCTTGAGACTGATTTCGTGGTGGCCAAGCAAGGTTGGAAGCTGAATTATATCTCGGAATATCTTTTTTCCAAATATCAGAACCATTTAATTTTTTTTCATTAGTAATAAACGTAGAATACTCAATTTTTCTGTAATAAAAAGAGTACGCTGTTAGAATCAAATTTTTACTAAATCACAATCTACAAGTACATAAATAATAAAAATATTTTATAGAAAGCACCTTTTTTGACTCATTATATGTTATTGATGTCTGATTTTACGAAACTTTTTTTCTATAAGGTCATTATCAATGTAAAAAAGGGGTTAATAAAAAAGTTAATAGTACATAAATTTTATAAATCTATGCGATAATATTATTTACTAATTATTACTTGATATTATTGGAGCCTTTAATATAAATTTGCTCATAACTGTACTGCTTAATGAGACTTCCAGCGCTATCAGTTGACTGATAAATTATGCGGCGGTTAGAGGTCGGCAATTCTGAAAAACTGGCAGTTCTGGTAAGTCCTTGGAGAGACGAATATGGCAAAGTCAACGTTGCGTATTTTTCCATAATACTTATAATTTGCTAAAAATATTTACTTTTCTTAAAGACATGCTGATATTCAATCTAATAAAACTTTATCGATGTTCATGAATTGTTTGTTAATTTAATTAAAAATAAGTGTGATAAGAATATTAGATTTACCTTATTTTATTCTTCTCGAATTTTTTTTGGTAAATAATACAATAATGTTCTTGAAGTCACCAAGTTTTTTTATAGGTTATCTTGTTTACAAAATATTAATTATGGAAAAAAATAATTATGAATTTATTTATCTGCAATTTGTGATGTTATTTTATAGAGAAGATTAATAACGTATTTATGATTTCACTAGAAACTAATTATAGATAGTTACAAAAAATGAAAAAATACCGGCATAACAGATAGCCTAATTTACATCTATTTATCATTCACTAACTTATTTTTAGTAAACACAAATTTGAATTTTCCGCCACGACTAAATCCGGAAATTAAAAAAAAATGTTCTAAGTAAAGTATCAACAATTGAGATCGTTTTTTTCTTTATTTTTTCTATAACATTATCACGAATGTAAATAATTCTCTTAATGAGAAAAATACAAGGACGAGTCAATTGTTATTACTATAGGTAAACATTTGATTTTTTATGAAAGAAAGTTTGATTAAAAACTAAATAGACATCAATTTGTTTTTTTTTACTATACATATAACACAATTGAGCATTACAAATTTTTTTTTCCTCACAATTGTAATAATAACAATACCCTGCAATATATTGTAATGCGAAGCCATGCTTTTTTAATATGATTAATTTAAGTAGAAATGTAAAGAATCTTTTTTTATAGACATAAAATAACACTTTGATTTGATATGATTTATGTATAATACATGAATTAACTCATAATGTTTAATGAGAATTACTTTATTAATTGTTTTTCGATGCATTCACTCATCCAATATCACCAATGAATCAACGAAGTTCAAACTTCCAATTAATTTACATAATTTAACAACTGATGATTTTCTTTTTTTTTAAAACGCTATAAGTGCTTGTTATTTACTGTCAGGTTTATCATTATTCCTGTAAAAAAAATATAAAAAATTTACAGATATACAATAATACAAAAAATGTTTGATCTAAAAAATTTTTAAAATCATTATTGAAAGTTTGTAGAAAAAAAAATTGATTTATCATTTTTACCTAGTCTCCGGAATTTTATTTTCAACGGCTTCTATTGGAACTTCAGAGGCATCAGGCGTAGTTACATTTATACTTTCGGGATTTGCTTGATTAACATTAACTTCTTTTTCTTTGTGACTATCATTATTAGTAACTATATCTCTGTCAATCCCTGAGGATTTTTTTTCGCTTGTAACTGTCGTTGTTTCAGGTACTTCCTGTTTATAAGCTTCACATACGCTAAATTGTTCGGGGTTTATTTGTACAGAATTAGCATTAAATGTACTATCAAAGTTGTTAAAATCGGCCCATTGATCTGGCTCTTCTGCAGGAAATGTTGAAGATGAAGAAGCCCATGGATTGACTTCAGGTAAAATAGTACTACTTGGCAACGGCTCAGAAGCATCCCAAGCTGCAAAATTTAACGTTTAAAATCATTTGTAATTTTTACCAAGTTATAAAAAACTTGAAAAACTTACGATCTTCAGAATCTATATCCATGTGAATTTCTTTAGTGTCTTCGTCTTCATCAGACGAAATTGAATCATGCTGTTGTTTAAATGGCCAATCACGCTTATCAATAACAGTTTGAAAAGTTAATTCACCTTCATCTACCCACACGATGCCATCATCTTCTAGGCCGGCTTTTTGTTTTTGTTCACAAATCTTTAAAACAAAAAAAAAAATAATAAGTGCACTGCAATAACATCGCAATCTCTATCATAAAATATTTATACCAATTATTTCATTTTTACCTTATTAAAAACTTCTTCTTGATTAACTAGATCTTCCTCAGTTACGCTAAAAGGCATTGTGGTTATTTGGTCGACGGAGTTACTAGGCCTAATAAAAATTCAAACATGATAGATTATTAAATTATTCAATGAATAAAATAACTGGAGAAACATAAAAATGAAGATTACTCACTGCAAGGCATCATTACCATCATTGAATTTGTCGTCATGAAAACCATAGTGTTCAATAAATTGGGATGTCATTTGTTGTCCCTGATAATTTGTATAAACCTAATAAATTTATTTAAATTATAATTTCATATTATCATAATAATGACCTATTTTTCATTTTAAGAATAATTAAAATAATTATCAACCTGTTGAACATAGGCATCTGGTGTATATGGGTTAAACTCTTCTGCACTATCTTCTGATGATGTCATGTATGGTTGTGTCTTTCCTCCCTTAATAAATAAACACAATAAACAACCATATTCATTATGAATATAATTAATAAATAATTTTTGTTTCTTTTTATGCTATAAATAATAAAACTCACAAGGAGTAATTGATGAGTAGCATTAATTTCTACCAATTGAGTATTTACAATTGTTTCCCATTGTTGCAAACATTTCTCTTCTAAATTATGTTTTAAATAATTATCAAAATCTTCACTTTTTTCAGACTTCTTTACAATGGTGTTAGCTATGTTAATTAAATGGCCCATATAACCCTGACGAATTCCATTTTCTTTATTTCTGTTGAGAAAATTTTTTTATCAGTAATCTATTAATTAAGTTATTAAATAAATATGTCAATTAAATAATTTACTGTTTATTTTCATTTTTATCCCAAGCTTCTAAAATACGATCAATTAATTTACATTGGGCAAATATCTGAAAAGAGAAAAAATTCAATATTTATCAATTATATGATTAATAAAAATTAAACAAATCATTTAAGTTGTAAACTTACGTGCGTATAAACTAAATTGCTATTTTCTTGCCAATCCCCATTAATTACTAAAGCAAGGCATTGATCTACTTGAGTATGCAAAAAATTATTCCAAGAGTACTTGAAAAATAAATCCAATAAAGTCTGGAATGTTTCTAACTCCGACATTCTTTGAAATACTTTGATATTTTCTGTTGAAAGAAGTGCAGTAAATAATTTGGCAATATGTAGGCGAGTATTTCCTAAAGGAGACTCTAATAGTCCAACTGTTGTTTTTACAGGAGGCTTCTAAAAATTTTAATACAATTTTAAGATAACTGTAATGTACTCTATATTATTTTGATATATTAAAAGAACTTATTATTATTGTTGTCATTAATCTTACAGGCGGTGGATTTAATAATAATTTTTGTAGTTTATCCAGGTACGGTAAAGTGGCATTTTGGATTTTAATACGATCAATATTATAAGTTGTATCTTCTCCAGGATTATTTGCTTGCATTTCTCGCTGAATTGATATACTGAAATTAGTTTATTGCATTATATGAACAAAACAGTTATATGCTCTAATATAAAATTATGACAACTTCTTATAGCTCAAATTTTTATTTGAATCTTTTTTTATTTTATTTCAATTCAGGACCATTATACTTTAAATCCTCTTTAATTAATTTCATCTATTCCACGACATAAGCTTACACGAAAATTTTATAAATAATTCAATTATAAATTTACCTATTTGATTCCTGGCCAAGAAGAACTAACAGCACTTGAATCCCACCTACGATGCTACTTTCCGATTGTTCATCGCACAAAATTGTATCCAACAATAACGTAACTGATTCTTCTCTGTAAATATAATGATTTAATAATTTTAAAAAATAATTTATTAAATAACATGAAATTTAAGTTGTAAAAATTTCTTACGATTCTAATGTATTGAGAATAGGATCTGGATCAGTACGTTCTGTGGACGTTATCCTGTATTCGCGAGCAGATTTAATAATATCACAAAGTAATTGCGCCGCATTGGTATGTTTATTTGGGTCCGCAGTAGGCGACAATAACTTAATCAATTGTTGAATAAGTTGTTGAGTGTTTAACCACTTTTAAAAATAAAAAATAATAAAATCAACTAAATAATGGATGAAGTAATTAGTAACAATAATATAGAAATGCTGAAATCATCTAACATATAACAGAGAAATGTAAATACATGTGCACTCAAACCAACTCTAAAATAAAAAATAATTCTTCTCACATTTAAAATATTTGGTCGCATGTCCGCATCCTCGACTTTTGTCACCAGCTTCAGAACCAAATCCATTATTGCAGATGTTTCTAAGTGCTGTAACAGTCGATCCACACATTTTTCACGACCCTTAAGAAATTCTAATACCTGTAGACACATGTATTGATAGGAATACCAATTCTGGGAGGTGAAATAGGATCAAAGGATTAATGATAATTGGCATCATAGGAAGGAAAAGGAAAAATATACTTAAATAGATAATTTGATCATTAATTTAGCTTAAAATTAGAATATTTGATAAAAAATTTTAGAGCAGTCATCAATAGATTTAATATTAATAATATTTACCTGATCACTTTTGCGAATTAAAAGAGTACCAATGATTTTACTGAAAAACGATGCTAAAAGCGGATTCAGTGGTTTATCTGTGTCAATGAAAGAATATAATTTTGCCAAAAGATTTTCTGAACCTAAAATACATTATAAATATTTATGTTTTATCATTTATTTTTATAATTCGAATATTTAAAATTTTTTAGAGTTCATTTTTACCTGCCAATTTTTCATTTATCGTTTGAACATTGCACGTAAGTATTTCACAAGCTATACTTGCATACTTGTACCTCCACCTTTCTTCAACGTCAAGTGATGGTTCTTTAGTTGATAAAATAACTAATTCTTCGATTACTTCAGGCTTGGTTAAACTATAAAAAATAATAATAATCACACATTATCCACTTGTTCAGTTTTTTCACATTTGAAAATGTCATTTTACGTCAACGAGAAAAAAATTACAAGACATATCTAATGCTTGAAAATTTTTCATTAAGTCGCTGTTGACATTTAGTACTTTTTATTAGCAAATTAACATCTTCATTGTATTAATTAAGTCTTTTCTACAAAACTGAACGGAATATCAACTTACTATTCAACTAATTTTTTATTATGACTTTTAAACTCTGTTACAATTTCCTCTTGATCTATCAGCTCTTGTAGTCTGACATCCTGTAAGAATCGAAGCAAAACATAAAAAGTGGCAATTGGTCATTGTCAGCCATGTCTTAATCATAATGCAACTAGTGTAATACATAAATATATGAAAAAAAAAAAATTTTACGAATATAAAATGTCAATCATTGAGCATAAAGTTTATTTTGTAACAATGACTAGTTGTTGTTAAGAATCATGCTTACTTCTTTGTCGAGTAATGCTTCAATTTCTGGCGACAGTGTATACATGTTGGACCAAAACATGTTGGAGCCACGCTGGCTTTCAAATAAGCCTTGGACACTGATAAATACTGAATTTCTTAAGTATTTTAGCCTCCCACAGCATCCGGACGAATACAGCCACAGAGTACAAAATGTAATACTGAGGAGGTAAACGCGGTAAATGTGGAATTAACTAATCTACTACGGTAAGCACATCAGTTTTGCGATCGTCACTGCAATTTCATGTGCTTTAGAGTCTAAGTTTAACTGCGCACGCTCAATGAGTAGAAAAAAAATTATACCACCATTTTGAATTTCCATTTACAAAATCTAATTAATAATTGAAGATTAGTAATTTGTAAAAAAATACATTGAGTTGTTAAAAAATCTGAAATTAAATAAAAATAATTGCTCCGATTTTTCAAAGATAATATTTCTGTATAGTTAATTGTAAATCTACAATAATGAATGTTGGTTATGTTTTCTTTTTTTCTTTATGATCACGAAAAATAATGAAATGTACACATACAGTTTAGTACATTCTGCTATATCACTATATACATATAAGTATCTATCATATATAGTTGTGTAACCAATTGTATATATATAGATGAAGATCGAGATATATATACGTATAGATCAACACGCGTGATTGTAATATCGGCCATTACTAAACGGTTTCCTCGAGGTATTTAGAAAAGTGAAATATTAAACGTTTATAATAAACACTGCATTATTTTAATCATATTCTAAAGAAATATTTTGAATTACTAAGAAGTAATTATAAGGATGACATCGATGTTGAGATATGTTAGATACGTAAAAAGACTTAACGAAGTTGGACAAAAGGTTACACTCAACCAGCAAGTACTTATTACCGGCAGAAAATTCATTCTCCAAAATGATCAAAACTTATTTAAGTAAGAAATTACATTATAATTTAATGCTTAAAATGATCAATGATTATTATTTATCAATTGAAATACATGCTTTCATAAATTCCCATTTTTATTTACTTTCAATATATATTTAGATTCTCCTGAATTTTTTTTGGCAAAATTAATAAAAAATTTTACACTCATAAAACTGTTGAAAAATTTTATTAATTTGATTTGATTACTGTTTTTATAATAATTTTACTTTCTACAGGAGTTATGCAACGGCTGCGATTCAATCTAAAATTAAGATCTATGGAAATAATGCAAAGTTTCAACAATTTGAAGATCATGTGAAACGACACGGAAAAATATCTAAATCAGAGATTTATGCATTAATTAATGAAATTGAAGAAATAGGTAACGTATCTAGTTTAGATGGGCTTTTGTTAATCAGGAGTTGTGGAAAATCGCTTTATGAAAGCGACTTTAATGAAAGCATAAAATTAGTTCAAGAAGTATGGAGTACTTTAGAAAATTTACAGACTCCTATGGATGTTTCACATTTTAACGCACTACTAAGTGTTTATCTTGAAAAAGAGTATGACTTCACGCCCGAGGACTTTTTAAAATTTATGGAAAAAAAAGGGGTTGAACCAAATAGAGTAACATATCAAAGATTAATTAAAAAATATTGTCAGAAAGGAGATATTGCAGGAGCTACAAAAATGCTTGAAATAATGAAAGAAAAGGGTATGCCACTCAATGAGGATGTTTTCAACTCATTGATCTTAGGACACTCAGAAGCAAATGATATGGAAAATGCATTAAAAATACTGAATGTGATGAAAACAGCTGGAATTTCACCGTCTGCTGATACTTACACTGAAGTAATGTGTGCTTATGCAAAACAAGGAGATTTTGAATCAATTCGCAAAACTTTATCTGAAATTTCACAGAAAGATATTACACTTTTAGACTCACACTATTTGGATGTATTTTATGCATTGGCAATTAATGGACATACAGATAAAGCTGAAAATTTTTTAAAAGAAATTCCATCAGAAATACATTCAGATAGTGAGATTTCTAGATATTTAAGTAGATTAATTTTTGCAAATCATACAGATTTAGCTTTAAAATTATTAACAGAAACATCAAAAAATTTGACCAGACAAAAAATCAGATCTGGAACATTGATTAGAGCGATGATAATGAACAAGACTCCGGTAGAAAAAATAATAAAAATATGTCGATATTTAGACGAAGAACTTCAATATAATCGTGCATTCCGAGTTGCATTATACCAAGTATTGACACGTGATCCAAAGTTAGAATTAGCATCCCCATTAATGAAAGCGTGGAAAGAAATTGGAGGTGAAATAAGGGAACATTACTTTTGGCCTTTATTAGTTACAGAAGCTAAAGCCGGAAATATGAATGGCGTAGCAGATATTCTCAAAAGTATGATTAACGATTTTCAAATTATGCCTGCAGAAGAAACCTTAAAAAATTACGTTCTTCCTTATATGTTTGGTACTTGGGAGAGTACAATTACTTTCTTTGAACCATTAAACATACCCAAAAAAATTGTTTATAATTCAATAGCTGATCGCTTATTAATTGAGCGAAAAATAAGGCTTTGTGCAACATTTGTATCTTCATACCCTGAATCATATTCAAAAGACCTTCTGCTTCGACATCTAGTTGAAGCTCTCAATGCTAGAGATGATGTTGAATCTTTTACTCTCATTTTACGACACTTGAGTGAAAATTCGGAACCGGCAGATCCTGATAAAATTCCTATTTCTTTAGTCGATGCAGCATTGAGAGAGGTAATGGATGTTATTCCAGAATACAGATCAAAACTTATAGAAAAGCTTCTAAATGAGTTTGTTAATGCTGGACTGAGCATGTCTCCAGAAGTAGCAAATGAAATTAGAAATTATTTAAATAATTCTTCCATAGACGATGTTGAAGAAAATCTTAAAAAACTAAGTTCTGGAAATTTAAATATCGTACCTATGGAAATATATAATCCAAAAGTAACGGATAACTCACAAGATAAAATAATGAACATGAGAAAAATATTAAACTTCCGGCGAAGTTTTGCAAAATATGCAGACGAAAACAATTTCGAAGAAGCTTATGAAATTATACAAAAATTACAAACTGCAGGATATGATGAGGTGGGTATTTATGCTCGAGCAATTCGTCTATTTTGCGATAATGAGTTTTTGATTGGAGCTGAAAGTTGTGTGGTTTTTTTGAAAAATAACGCTCCTAATGCTACATTAGATTTGAAGAAAATTTTCAAGTATGCTGAACTTTTGATAAAAAATGATCGATTTGATGATGCAATAGAATTTTTGACAACAGCGCGTGTTGCTAATGAATCGGAAAAGAATTCTAAAGAAATTGCTCGTCAAGTACGACATGTCCTGGAAACTACATCGAATAAAAAAGATGTGGAAAATTTGAATAAACTTTTCAATCTATTACATTCTAAAAATTATCTTACTATAGATAATTTTTCTCTTGGTCCAATGGTAAAAATCCATACTTTAAGAGGTGATTATGCTAAAGCTTTAGAAGTATTTGAAAATGCTTGTATCAATCATAAATGCACTCCTTATAAAAATATGTTAATAAAAAATTTTATCGAAAATGAAGATGCCGATTCTTTACAAAAAATTACTGATTTGAATTCAGAAATTTTTGGTGAAAGCAATGCACTTTCAGATTTAGCTTTTTGTTTCCTCGAATATGGACAACCGAAACAAGCACAAAAAATTTTTGAAACACCTGGTTTGAAAATTTTCAATGAAAAAATTGCATCTGCTATCGAACATTATGACAAGTATAATAAAGATATTGCTATCAATGAATTAGTTAAAGTTACCAAAAGCGTTTTAAGAATGGACAGATCGTTTTTATATGATAGTATTTTAAAATTATATCAGCGTAAGAATAATTGGCAAGCTGGACTAGCTCTTTGGACTGATATGCAGGAAGAGAACGTTCAACCATCAGCTTATTTTCTGAGTGTTTTGAATTCTTTATTGAAGCAAAATAATCAAAGCTCTCCTTTTGTCTATGATTCATCACAGTCATCAATTACAAGTTCGTCACAGGATACTGCATTTTATGACGCTGTACGACAAAAAAATTATGACGATGCTGAAAAACTTCTCAATACGTCATCTTGGACAAAACAGCAGGCTATTTCAAAATATAATAACTTAATAATGGCTTTATTAGATCATGGGGAATTAAATCGTGCTTATACTATTGCTAAAACATTAATAGATAAATATGGTGTGATTGATAAAAGTGTCTTCAATGAATTAGGTTATAGGCTTATTGAATCAAGAAAATATAAAAATGCTAAAGAACTTGGAAATTCATTAAATCCAGACATAAAAAAAAAAGTTAATTATGGAAAAATAGTTAGCCATGCAGAGATTGCTGAGAAAGGATTGAAGTATTTTATAGACAATTTAAAGCCTGCCGATAACAATAAATATAATGAGAATCAAATTCATTTTGGAGCAATCGTTCACGACTTACTCAAAAATTCAGAATATGTTAATGAATATGAAGTATGGGCCAAAAAAATGTGGGATTTGGGAATACACCGAACAATGCATGCTTTATGGAACTATTACTTTATTGTCAATGACGAAAGAGAAGCGAACATTTTTGATGAATATGTATCTGGAAATCGAACATTATTGATAAAGCCAATAACTCAAGTTGCAATGAAAGAAAAAAATCCAGCTTTAATAGAAAAACTAATTGAAAAAATAGATAAAATGCCATATGTAATGACAAATATCAAAACATTAGTACATTCTGACTTAATAAAACTTTATCGTAAGTCAATAATATTATTTTAACTAATTATCTATTTTAAAATAATTATGTTTTATATTAATTTTGTTTTTGTTCAATCATGTAGTTGAAATGAATCGACCTGAAGATGCATTTGCCGTTTTACGTAAATTCTCTAGACGTCAAAATCTAAATAGTATTCCTAAAAAGTTATTAATTGCACTGCGAGATAAATACGAAATGACCGGAAAGAAATTTCCCTTGATCGTTGAAGAATTAAGTATGGTTTTTTCAATTTAATATAAAAATTGTTCTCTTAACTAATTTATTTGATTAAAAATACAATATGATGAACAAATGATTTATTATTACAGATAAATCACCAATTGGATTGGAATACGAGGATAGCCAAAAGGATGATAAACAATTAGCACAAGCTGAGATATAGATACGGTGTAGTTAAACTGTAATTAATATCATTTAATAATTGTATTTAGAGATAAGCCATTTCTATCTTATAAAAATTTTTATCCATTAAATCGTTTGTACAAGATTGTTTATTATAATCGAATATCATTTAATGATGACTTCGATAACGATGATTAAAGTTTCTATTAAAAGAAAGAAAGATTATTATAATATAATAAATCATCTCATTCGTAACGTAAAAAATACATTCTAAACTTAATGAATATTTATAAGATTATAAAATGGAAAATATGATGTACAGATAAAACACAAATATTTAGTAATTTCAATCTATTTATTTAAAAATCATTGGTATCATAATTTGTATTTCAACAATAATAACAAAATTTTTTTAAACATATTTATTTTTTTTGAAGTTAATTTGCACTATAATTGAAATCATACGATAATTTTTTTGTAAGGAATATTCCATTGTTAAGAATAAATTATTTTATTATTGCATAAATATTTATAAAAAAATTATATTTCAAAGTTGATATTTCAATTAATAGAAGGATTATCTTATTTGAAAATAGATAAATTTGTTATTATTATAAATTGATTACTATAACGTGACTAAAATTACTTACAGATATTAAAATTAATAGACATTATGATTAAAGTATTTAAGGCAATTTTAAAATTCGTTTGTACAAAAATATTATGACATTACATAAAATATGTACGTGTCAAGTAATTTTTACATTTTTACTCTTAAATAATTATTTTTGTTCACATATTTTGTTTAAAGAGAAAGAAAAACCAGTAAAATTACAAAAATTCTTCACACCAATCACATAAACATTGATAACAATCTTGTGCTTGTTTGCTGTTTGCACTACATATATCTTTCATCCATTCCAAAAAGAGCTCGTGATTCTTTTTAAGTACCAAATATTGTCCAAGAACGACATAAGCCTAGAAGGAATAAAAATTGTTAGTAAAATTGTAATACAATGGTTACTATTTATAGATTATGATTCATATTGCTACAAACTTTGTCAAAACCGGCAGCTTCTAATCGTCTGCCTAAAACTTCACCAACACCAGCCAAATCTGTGACTGGCTTATCACCCATAGGCTCAGCTACAAAATTTTTATACTTTTGTGATGTACTAGACATTGTTGCAAATATTTTTATTGCTTTTAGTTCTTGATAAATGTGAATATAATATTTGGTTTAATGAATATGCCACCAAGTGTAAGCAATTTTTATTCTCTGACGCTTTTTTAATGTATACTTCGTTTTAGAGGGAATAATAAATACAGACAGTCTAGCCAACATAGAAATAAAGTCTCCATATAATGGTTAAAAATTAGGGATATTAATTCTTTAGGGTACATATCTATGTAATACGTAATTGTAAATGCGTCTTTCGTTACTTTTTGTACATATCGCGATAATTACGGACAGCAAAGAGTTCAATGTAAATTAAACTATTTTTTCATTGTTCAATTTCCAATTTGTTAATAAAATTAAAATTCTCTCCATAAATATCCTATACAAGTTTTATAATAGTTTTTTTCTATATTTGTAAAACTTGACAAAGGAAATTCGAACTTATATTTATACTGCTCCGAAATGACAGAATGCTAATGATATTAATGTTTTCATATGCTCATCAGTAAATATTCATATCACAAGTGATAGTTTAGATTTTTTTCTGTAAATCTGTGACACCTGTAACATTCAAAAATGAGTTCAGGATTTATATCTGAATCTGAATTATCTGAACAACGAAGATTAAGACAAGAAGAATGGGAACGAGTGAGGACTTCTGATCAACCTCTTGGTAAAATTCATGCATTTACATTTGTTTTACCAATCAATTATATTTATATAAAAATATTATATAAAAGAAATGAAAATATGTCAATTGAGCTGTGTTTCTAAATTTTAGAACGGCCTGAAGAAAAATATGATCCCAGATCACTTTATGAAAAATTGCAGGAACAAAAAACTAAACGTGATTTGGAGTATGAAGAAGCCCATAAACTAAGTATGCACATTGCGTTAATAAGCTAACACTTTATAAACGAATAGGTTTTTTTAATTCATTAATTCATCATTATCGAAATTATTTTTTTTCTAGAAAATATGATAAAAGGATTGGATGATGATGAAGTAGAATTCCTAGATCTCGTAGACAGGACTAAATTAGAAGAAGAACGGAAGAAAAATCTAGAAGAAGCAAAAGAAATGCGTGATTTCAAAGCTGCAGTTGCTTCATTACAAGAGAAATCATTAGATGAAAGGTTAAAACTCGAACTTAAATCACCTCAAAGTACAAATAAAAGTAATTCTAGTGGAAATGGAAGAAATTCTCAAGTTCGTCTCTTGGCTGGAGTTGTTGTTAAAAAGTCAGATAAAACTGAAAAATCTCCGAAAGAATCTCCACCTTCAGGTAATATTCTTTCCCTCCATAATTGTATTTGTCACAATGACAAAAATTTAATAAAAAAAAACTTACTATCAATTAATTGCAACAGTGAATTTAATTTTATTTGATATAAAAAAAATGTTACAGAATCAAAAGGCGTTAAAAGAAAATTATCTGAAACCCAATCTGATGAGAAACCCTCTACAGAAAATAAAACTGAAGAAGATGAAAAAGAGCGAAAACATCCAACAGTTGGAATGAAATGTATTGGCATTCTACCTGGTCTTGGTCCTTATAATGATTCAAGTGATAGTGATTGCAGTTCAGATTCAGAACATGATGAATGCGACAATCGCGTGAAGTATGATCTTTTAGGAAGGAAAATAGAAGTAGATATTGAAATAAAATCTAGAGAATAAGAGAAAAATCGTTTCTATCACACGAAAATTCTACGAAACAATAATTTTTTTAAAGAAATGTATACATATATCAATAAACAATAAGACAATTAACAAACAACAAAGAAAGGTTTATACGTATTGAACATTACTATGATACGGTACAATTTAGAAAGTTCATTTATTAAAACAAATAAACTTAAATGACAACATTTTAATAATAAGGATAATCGTTAATATTAGTGTTAATTATTAAATCTACTATCAACATTAATTTAATTTTTTTATTACAATTATAATACAGTAAAAAGATAACGATTATCAATAATATCATCTTTTTTCTTTTTATTTACAGCACAAATAGTCGTTATAATCCTCAGAAAACTTCAGCTGAGAATTAAATCGTACCGAAGAATTGCTGCTATTTTACAGCTCTGTATAAATTAATTGTTATTTAATGCGTACTTTAATCACTGTAACTTACATTATATTGTGAAGTAATACTAGTGTTTGATATAATTCATTTATAAAATATTGAAATAAAAATATTCAATTTATCTAAAAACCATGTATTACTTTACAATTTTTGTGGTAAATATAATAATCACTTATTAATGATTACCGTAGCATTTTTTGAACCACGTCCAGTTCTGATTTTTATTACAAGAATTAAAGATTATTTTTATGATTTTTTTTTTGTATAAAATATATTTATTTCACTAATGTGATTCTTGACCTAAAAGAGATAATTGTTTAAGGAATTGTCTTGCATTTACTAATGTCGTTGAACCATAAACAACTCTTTTGTTGGCACCATTTCCAGTCTTTTGCTGAAAGCAAAAACTCTTTAGATTATGATAACAGGAAAAGTTGAAACATTGTTCAAAATTTTACACTTCGTAGTTTGAAATCGTACATTAATAAATAAGTTGTGAGTAAATTACCTTAGCATAGTCATATAAATTTTGATATTCAATATAATTTCCACCGCCAACTATGAAAACTATTACGTCTTGAAATATTGTGCGATTTTTTGGAGCTTGTTCTACTTGTTTCAATTGTTTAGGATCAAGATAATAATATTCTTCTGTGCTTGAATTCATCTTCATTTCCATTAACTCATCCACGATTTTAGTAACAGGTAAATTCTATAAATAATTTACAAATATTTATATTCAATTAAATTTAATACAATTTCAAAAAAATATTCAATGAAAGTAATAAATATTTTATAAGAAACAAAAAAAAATTAAACTTACATGTTTTTTAACAACTAAATTTTTAACACCTTCCATTACAAATGAAGATCCTTGATTCATCAATTTCGAAAACATGCTAACAGTTTTTGTACCACCCCCTTCGTAACTACTCTGAATACCAGATAGTTTGGTGTAATTTCTATTAAAAATATTCATTACATTTAAAATGCATTCATGAAATTCTACAGAACAATTTAAATGTACTATTACTTACTTCCATCGTTTAATATATATAAGTGGATTCAAGTCACAACCAGCATTAGCCAATGCTGTCTCATGTCTATTATAATCCATTTCAGAAATATTATTACATAAGTAATAAATAATGAATAAGCGAATTTTATCCTCGGGAGTCCCACAATCAGGATCATTTATAATATCTAAGATACTTTTATCCAAAGTCTGTTTACTCATGATTTTTTCTTCAATTTCGAAAAATGTATCTAATCTTCGTGATTTAATTGAGTTCAAAATTCCTGTAGCAATAGTTGTATGCATGTCTATTAAGCGTTTCATATCCAAAAGTTGAGGCAATGAATTTATTGCATCGGATATACGAGCATTATTATTAGCTACCATTTCTCCACCAATTTCAACCTCTCCATCGATTCCCTAAAAACATTACGATAATTTGATAAACTCATAATATTATTAATTATAAATAATATGTAATATTATAATAATAAACTTTTAATACAAACCATAGAATTTTTTAATTTTTTTACTTCTTCTTCACACACCCGGTATTGTTCAAGCTCTTCTTGAATAGCTTCGGCAACACGCGGAAAAGGACTTCCTTTATGTTGATACCAGAAACGATCAGTATTATTTAATTCACAAGGTCTTGTTTTCGATCTAGCACCACCGGTAGGAGATCTTCCGACATTCTCTTCGACAACTAATCTATTCAAAGCTAATTCCAACACATCATGAGCTAGTGCTTGATAAGTCCAAGTATGATGAAGAGGAGTAGCCATATCTACACTTCTATCTAAAACAATTAAAAGTGGTCGTTGAAAACTAAAATGTCCAGCTCCACCAATTTCTCCTTGGAAAAGACTGTTCCTTGTGTCCCAAACATTCTCTCTTAATTTTTTATCCAACTTTTTAGCTACCATTTCTGCAGCATTTCCTCGAGGACATCGAATTATTGGAACAGTTCCCAATGTAACGAAAACAGAGAATAAACTATCAACAATAATGTCCATAATTGATTCTATTTCAGTGTCTTTCATATCGCCTCGATTAATTGCATGATAAGAAATTATATCACTGTTTTGGTGTCTTAAGATGAACATATCATCTTCTAACGTTATAAAATTGAGGTATTGGTCATAGACTTTTTCAATCTTAGCAACAGCACCCGCAATAAGAGCTGCTGCTGCTAAATCTTCCATCTTTTGCCGAGATATTGGAGATATGAAGTTTAAATGATAATTATCGTACAATCCACTCTGAAAATCTTGACCGATACGACCTAAATTTTCTTCTGTTGGAGTACAGAAATATATTGCTGGGACTTCGGGAATTACATCTCTGTCAGAATGTAGTTGCCTACGAAAAAATGATTTATTATTTTAAAAACTAAAGTTTCGATAATTTTTGTGAAATAAAAAAAAATTATAGTAAAATTTTATGATCTTATTTACATACAAATGATCCTATTAATTAAGAATGAAACTACAAGAGTAAAATTTTATTCTCAATAATTCTTTTATATTCAAAAACTTACATGTGTAATGTAATTCCTAAATCTCTCAATTCTTTTACTGATATTAATGGTGATATTATATCCTGTCCTACTCTGTCATATATTAAAATCTTCCACGTAGGCACAGCTGTAGCTTTACATTCTGGTTGATTCAGATTTAACATTTGTTTCAAAGCATCTGGAAGAAAGTTAAATTGATTTTAATAAAATAAATAAAAAAAATTATCCAAAAATAATGATTCTTTTTCTCAATTCTGAAATATAAGAGTAACAATAATATAAATATAACCAAAAATTTTATAAAACGTAAAATCATATACAATGTAACTACTATAAAATATCATCATACTTATTTGTTTATCTCTTAAAGACATCATATTTGCAAATGTGAAAACTGAATATTCAAGAAATAAATGGTGTTATTATAACAATGTGTTTAAAGACTCAATGAAAACTTCTAATTTGTTATTTCAACAAACAAAATATTGCATTTTCGTTTTTTTGTGTAATTTATGGAACACTGGTGTCACCTACAATTTCAATGAATAGTTGAAGAAGTTAGGCAGTAGATGGCCAAAATCATGCTCTGAATTCTACAAACAACATAAGTTATTTAGAATAATAAAATATAATTTCGCAAAATTTACATATTCTTAAATGAAATTATTGATAACAAATCGTTATATACTCCTAAATAATTAATTAGGATTTACAACTTTATTTTATTTTATCTTCTCAGTAATTAAGAGGTTATACACAGTCAAAAGTCTTTTTATTCAAAAACTGAACATTATTTATTAAAATAGTAATAATTGAAATAAAATATTTTATCTGAACAAAGTTCGGTTATTGAATTAATTTGTAAAAAATATTTTATTTATAAAGGTTTGTATTATATCTGTTTATAATATTTTTATCCATGAATATAGAAAAATTAATGGATTCTTATAGATGAATCTCCAAAACTTTCATATCCCTAAAGAAAGAAGAGAAGTACCTAAAGTAAAACTTATCGATAAATTACATCGTGTATTTGTTTATACATGCATAGGAATCGGAGGAATAACTGGAATACTTTGTGGAATAATAACAGCTAATTATTTTATAAATATAAGACCAGAAGTAAAACGTCTAGCTCTTCAGAAAAAAAAAGACCTGCTTGAAGAAGGGTCTTCATTTGAAAATAATGAAATTGCTGAAGTTTCATAATTAACTAAGTTTGTTAGAAATATAAATAATTATTATAAACTTAATATTTTGTAAAAATAGATTTGATTATAGAAATTTTATTTCGTTTTTTAATTGATTATTTTTATAACTTTTTGTTTGATCAAATTGATCATTTGATCAAATTAGATAAACATTAAAGTTTAAAGATGTACTTTCTGCTAAAACATACATCATTAACCTGAAAAAAAGATGTCGAAAAATGTGATTAAGAATTAAGGATATTCAATAAATAAAAATACCAAACGAGTATATTTCTATAAAATTTTGTGGCAGTTATATTATCATACTTTTATACAAGTTTACCAATCGTTACTTTTATTTTTCACTTAATCTTAATGAATAATCTTCATTCTTTTATATTTTCGTAGTATAAAAAGTCACTGCGATTGCACATTTAAGTAAGAGATTTTAGTTTAGAAAACATGACGAATAAATCTCTATATATTTACATTGATAATTTTCACAATGATTGATAACTCATATTGATTTTATATAACATAATTGGTAAATGAAAAATTATATGTAAAAAGGAATTGAATATTATTTAAATTTACCTATTTATATATAATTATATCCTATTGCTTTTATTTATAGATTGAGTCTTATCGATAATTGGATAATTAATAAAAATATAAAATTTTAAAATAACAAAAAAATATGTAAAAATAATTTAACCCTCATACGTGTATTTACTCGCTTTGATGAAATTCTTCCAATGATTATTATGGTAGATGATAATTATTCTAATCTTAATTCATATTTACATTTATATTAAAATTTTTTTAATATTCGAATCTTATCATATATATTTTATACATAGATAAATTCCTATGCATTGTCTTTGAAATTTTTCGTTTTTTTTTTATAGTGAGGACACTTCTCTATACACAATATTATTCAATATATTTAATTCCTAAATTTATAAAAATTTTAGCCAATAGCTCGTATTGAAACATACTTGATAATGTCTTGAATACACATACTCTGAAATCATAAGAAAATTCTTTAGATCTATTTGTACATTTCAACGCTATTAAATTATGATTAAAAATCATAATATAGATCTTACTGCTGCTTATTACATTCATGAACGTAGGACGGAATGTGCACTTATTCATGAATTATTAGACGTAGGTGATGTAGTAACACTATTATCAATTCTCATAGAATCAATTTTAGCTACAATTTTCAATGCGGGTCCTAGTTTTATACTCATAGCAGACATTAGATGATCTTCTTTCAATAACATAAGAGCTTGACCATCAATTTCTTGAATAGCAAAATCTTCTGCATAGTCTGAACAACCTGGTAAGTTGCGAATAAAGTCGCAAACTTCATTAACCTGTAATTATTATTATATTTTTAATATTTTACCTTTATTTTAAACTTGTAAATAAAATTTTTTTATAAATAGAAAACCAGAACTTTTTATATAAAATCAAATAAAGTATTTACCGTCCATTTAACAGGATTTATCTTATTTATGTCCTCCGTTGGAGTAAGAGGAGGTTGAACTTTATCCTCTGTAGCCTTCTTGATTAAATCATCACTTTTCTTCGGATCAATTTCCATTTCAGTCCATTGTTTATCAGTTGTATCACGGTCACGTGATTCTTTCTTTTTACTACAAAGTATACAAATGCAATTATTTAATATACTATTAAATATAATAACCAAAATTTTTTTTTTTGTCAAAAAAAATGTAACTAATATACATAATAATTTATTTACAAACCTCTTTGCACATATTGATGAACAATAACGTTTGTCTTTTTTAAATTTCGTTGTATGTTCATCAAAGGTATTTCCACATGCTTCACATTTTCCAGAAGTGGTATTATTTGCCTCTAATTCATTCGAGTGACTGGCGGTATGTTTTTTCTCTATAATAATAAATTAAAAATATTTTAGTAATTAAATCTTTAATTTTTATATTATTTAATAATAACGAAATAGAAGTGAACAGTACTTTTCTTACTTGGTGGTTCATCATGACTATCCTTATCCGATAAGTTGTTATTATTATTATTTTTATTTAACACGCCAGATTCTTGATTTAATGATCCATTGAGAGTAGGTCTATTAACCACAAATGGTTCTGAAGCTGTAAAAGAAGATTTTAATATTTTTCAAATTGATGATATGTTAATCTAAAAAATTATTGACAATTTATTAAACACATACCTTCTTGGATAACAAATCCTTCAATAACGTGTGTAAGAACTTGAGGTTTTACAAGTGCTTTAGGTGGAGCTTGTTTACTACTAGATATTGGAGTATTTATTGAAGCAGCTGGTTCTTCAACTATTCCATTTGTAATGGAATTAACAGCATTAGCTAAATTAACTAAAGGATTATTGGATAATTTGTCTTCTGTTTTAGCTGGTGAAGAATTGTTTTCTTCTTTGGATGTGTTTTTATTTGATTCTGCTTCTAAAAATTTAAAATTATAATAATAATTAGATTAATAGAATATAAAATGAATTTTAGAGTAATTAATAATCTTAAAAATAAATACACTTTACTCAACTTATTTATAGTAAAAAAAAAAAAAATATACCTTGATTGTTTGGCGCTGAATCACGAGTTTCTTTAGCTTCTTCTTCCTTTTTAGGTGATGCCCCAGATTCCTCATTTGCCACAGGTGTACTAGCACACTGTTGAACGAACATGAAACATTCATTTTGTTGATTTCTTTCTGGAGCAACGATCATGGGAGTACTTGCATTATTGTCTGATTGTTGAGATGGTTGAACATCACTAGATTGAGCTAACATTGGCATTGTTTGCACTTGAGAAGTACCACTAACCATTTGATTTCCAATCAATGCAGGATTTAAAGCCTGAAGAATATAATAAATATCAAATAGTAACGAAAGATTATCGTCATCTAGATATAACTAATTTAATAAATAATTTTACTGGTAAAGGATGTTGTTGAACAGTCGACATTGGTGGTTGTTGAACTTGACCCATCTGTAACGTTGTTGCCACTCCAACTCCCATCGAAACTACCGGCATGATTGGTCTCTCGGCACCAAGAACGACGCCTGGAGCTACTCCCTGTTGTTGTCCTGGTGGCTGAAGTGTCATGCCTAATTGATAAATAATTTTTTATTATTAGTACATTTCTTTTTACACAAAAAAAAAAGAAAAGAAATTCTTCACTACATACCCATCAACGGTTTTGGTTGTAATTGAGGCTGGGAGTTTTGGGCTTGCGTTTGCTGGGACTGAAGTGATTGCTGATATTGCTGAAGTTGCTGCATCTGGTGCATGAACATCTGTTGGTACTGAGGCTGTATCCCAGGTGGAAGTTGAACTTGTTGCTGTTGTTGCTGTGGTGATTGCATTACTGTTTTGTTTTGTTGCCCAAAGTTTTGCTTGTCAGCAGTGGACATAGGTGAGCCAGGTGGTTGCGCAGAAGTGACCACCGGAGAATTCGTTGTTATAAGTACTTTGCTACCGTTTCCGCTATTATTAGTAGCATTGGGCTGATGTTGCATTATCATTGTGGCGTGATGAACATTAGATTTCGTTTGATTCGCTGCGTCGGCTTTTGTTGCCCCCTGAGAGGCATTTGTTCCGGGACTTGTGCGAACCACCGGCTTACCACGGCCTTTACCACCACTCCCACTGCCCTTGCCACTCTGAATAAAAAAGAATAAAATAAACCACCTTTTTTTTGACAAATCTTCCCCTCTGAGCCAAATTTTCCTACAATTCCCTAATTAAATCATAAATCTATCAAACTTTTAATTAAAGAAATAATACCTCATCTCTAAACGAAAAATTAAATAAATTATAATGAACTAAATAAAATCCGCCCATCACCCCACGTTTGATCACGTTTGTTTTTGGTTTAAAAGTCTGAATCTATACCGTTGTTTGTACTCCATGAACTGTTTGAGTCGACACTGAACTAGCTGGTCTAATATTCGCACCCTGAACTCCTTGAAGTGAAGGTAAGATACTTAGAGGACGTTGACCACTGCCACCTTGTTTACCCTGGGATTGTTGCTGTTGCTGAATGTCCATTACTCGTGGTTTACCACCAGCAGCTGCTATTTGCTGAACACCTTGAATTTGTTGTTGTGAGGCTGCAATAGCTATTAAAATAATTACCAACTCATAATTAATAAATTATATTCATAAAATTAAACAGTAATAATAGACTTATTTCAATTGCATACCATTATGAGCTTGTATAGGTTGAGGACTTTGAATGTACATATCTGGTTGGGTAGGACTTCTAATAAATATTTGGTTTGGAGCAGCTAATAAAGTAGCTCCAGGAGGTTGTAATCCAGCAGTCCAAGCAACTTGAGGTGTGAATTGCCATGGCGCAAACTGCATTCCACCCCCTCTTGATGCCGATTGCGTACCAGCTGCACATGCTGTATACTAAAAAAAAAAAAAAAATTGACAGTTAGTTTTTTGGTTTGTCAAATTTTTATAAGTAATTATTTACTTTTTGTACTTGATCTGGTTTGTTGGAGCCCTGCTGTTGTTGTTGTTGCTGAAGTGATGGCGGAGCTTGAGTGGAACCAAGTACACCGAGCTGACCAAAGACAAGTGTTTGTCCACCGCCAGGATTAGCCGATGTTGGAACAGGAACATAACCAGCTGGAAATCCTTGGACTTTTCCTCCTGGTCCACCATGGCTGCCTGGTTGTCCTGGTGTTGATGCCGTAGTCAACATATGAGGAGTCAATTGAGCAGCAGATTGAAATGGTTTACCAGCAGTTATAACTTGAATTGATGACGGATTGAGTCCAGCTGGATGGAGTGCCAAATTCCCTGGCATTAGTAATGGAGTCCCTTGAGTATTGTAGAGCTGTTGAAGATGATAAGCCTGACTTTGCATTGGTTGTTGAATCACTTGAACAGCCTGAGGATGTGCTGCCATAGTAGTAATTGTTGTAGCCCCTTGTTGTCCAGCTAATGCCATTGAAACACCTGGTTGTTGCTGTTGATGTTGCATTGATACTGCTACAGCATTTTGTAATTGTTGTGGCATACTGGCAGCAACTTGTGGTTGAACCTGAACTTGTGTAACATTATGTTGACCATTGTTTTGTTGTTGTGATTGTTGCTGTTGTTGTTGCTGCTGTTGTTGAACAGAAACCTGTTGCATTTGTTGCTGAGGTTGTATTTGTTGGTTTACTTGTTGAGAATGGCCATCCTGTTGTTGTGAAGTTTGTTGTTGTGATTGATTTGATGATTGCTGCTGTTGTTGTTGGTTCTGTTGTGATTGTTGTTGATTCTGTTGCTGAACTTGATTTTGCTGTTGTTGCTGAACATGCTGCTGTTGAACGTTTTGTTGTTGTTGCATTTCGTGCGAATTTATCATCTTGTATGAAATAAGCTCTCTATCGATAATCCGTTCTCTTGATGTTTTTTGATCAAATCAAATCTAAAAATTTCATTAATATTATAATTTTAAAATAAATTCTAATTTATATTTAAAATTAAAGTGAAAGATAATATGAAATTGTTTTTCCATTATCTAAACATATTATAAAATTTTGTTGACAGAATCAGATATTTATATAACATTGAAAGTTATGATCTATTAGCTTTGATGCTTTTATCAACATTATTGCATAAGAGTAATATCTCTTTATAATAAATATCTGCATATATAACCTAGTTCATTTCTTAATATACCTTACTCAGTATCTCAAGTGCTTGTGCAACAGTGTGTTTAATGAACAAATAGTTGCTCTTCAATATCATTTTTTTAACCTGAATTTTGGTAAGTTAATAATAGAGGATTTTTGACATTTTTTACACATATATATTTTGGAGAATACTAACTAAAAGAAAAATCTTAAATAATTCCAAGTCATTTGCTACTCCACAATCGATAAACAAGCTTAATTGCTTTTCATAATTTTTACATAATGAATTTATAAAAAAAAAATTCATTTCATTATACATGTTCCAGTTTATCAAAGGATTTTTTTATTCTGCTAATTAAATCATAATTAAATTATCAAATATTCCTAACCTAAAAAACCTAAAATTTTTGAATGAGAACCACTGTGGCGCGTTCGAGGGTGGCCAACAATGCACATTTTTTTTCTTGTTTCTCTGCTCAGCAGGCTCATGGGTGAAGGATAGGAACAGAGAAAATTCGGTGGGGAGAAGGGATCAGTGATATATGAGCAAAAAGAAAGTAATAACAAGGAGAAAAAAGAAAGACAGAATATAGGGGAAAGACAGGAGATTTTTACTCGTCTAGAATACATAAAGAATATATTCAGTAATTCTTTGTGCTTTACAGAATGATGATAAAGCGAATGAAATATTACATTAAAAATAACGTTGAAGTAAATAAGAGATATTAGAAGTTGAGCTAGTGGGAGGCTTTTTCGTAGAATATGAGCAAGTGGAATATAGAAGCGAAAACATAAGAGTACGTGAGCGAGAAAGTTGCAAATTTTCAAGGTCGAGGATAAAGAAGAAGTGCCTGGTGGAGCTGACTATTGAATTGGTAATTTTGAAAGAGTCGGGTTTCAGGAGGGGGGAAAAGTGGCGGCGATATCCATCTTGGAGCGTTGCGGAACAAAATGTCGTCCTGGGCAGAGACCACCATAATTAGCGTTACATAGAGAGGGGAGCTGTCGGGTCGAACCCCTCTCGATGTTCTTTCATGATCGGGGCGGGAGGATGAAAGCCAGAGGGGGAATTGTAACAAGGGAGTGCGGTAGAGACAGAAAAAGAAGGGGAGAAGCAAATCAACCAGGGACCAAGTTATAGTATGAACTCAATGCTACGAGAATAATAACAAAAATACAAAAAATGAAGTGAATGAGTAGTCCATAGAGACGTAAAAACTAACTGATAATGAAATTGATGAAAATAGTTACGTACTCCAATAAATGAATAATCTCTCAAGTGATATGTTTTATAAAAAGGGCTCTTATTTTTATTTATACACTACTGTTGTCTCAAGTTTTTGCCTACTGAGCGCTACTGAGTCGCTTGGATACTCACATGGCGACTGCGCAGTCACACCTAGACACGTTTTAAATCACACCAATCAACCACTATCATTGTTGACACACAATCTGATAGTTTAATGTCAAACACTTAAACAAAATACCCACCAATTTTCACTTAAATCCTTAGACATTCGCGAAATAAACTTAGTTTGCACACAAGGCGATCGTTTACTTCGAGACTCTGTTCCGTGAACATTGCCAGCACTGTCTGCCTCTTCATTCCCTTCCTCGAGTTTAGAACGCCACTCCTCTTTCCCTTCACCTCACCGCTAGTATCCATCAAGTCATCTCCCACTTTGGCTTTCCGTTGTTCAGGTTAGCTCCCTTACCGCGCTCCCCTTGTCGTGGAATAGCTTTTCCTTTATGTTCATTGGTCCAACATGGACAAATCCCAGAGGCATCGCAATTGCCAAGAAAGGCGGAGTCATCTAACTTTGGACCCTCGAAAGCGCATGTACATGTTTTAACTAACACACATACAAAAATCAACCATTCAATCGTTACGAGCCGACCTACGGTGCTCGAGTTTGCTTCCTTTCCTATTTTCCCTTCTTTTTAACTCACACACATTTACAAACTAACCACACTGAACACGCCAGATCCCATGATATAATTCCCTCTCAGCTTGCACAGGGCTGTATATTTATTATGACATCGTACTAAAGGTATCTTTTAACAATAATTTCAACTTCAAATTCTTTTTAACTATAACATTATTATTATTTATTTATTGACTTTCTTATATTTTACAGTGTAATTAAAAAATATGATATAAGACAAAAATTTAATCCAGGAATAAATTCCCAAGGCCCTTGAAGTGAATCATTGTTACGTCCCTGATCAAACTTCCAGACAGAGACGTAACCTAACCTACTAAATCTGGGTGACTTAACTTCTAAAGTAGGTTTCTTGCCTGCAACACTAATTTGTTTATCAATGTCATTTACTTTCAGATTACCTATTGAATTTAATTGTTTATGAAAAAAGATTTATGATGATTTATGAGGTAATTTAACTATATTCTTTAGAAATTTAGTTTTATAAAGTGAAATTTTTTTTTGAATTTGTTAATATTTCATACATTAAAAATGTACTTTTGATATTATAAGAATAATTATCAATCATTTTGATGATTCATGTGTAGAAAATAGAAGCAGGGTACAATCTAAAAGTACATACGCTCCTGGCACAGCTGTTTCGCGGCCACGTTTTCATTCCCCGCACCACTTTACTACCACATTATCTCGCACGTTAACTTAGAATTGGGTGGTAGACTATCACTCTGAAAATCTTCAACCTATCGAATGCGAGCGGCTTGTCTTCTTCTTCAAACAATCGCTGAAGAATTGCTAAATTGACTCATCAAACTTTTGAATTGTTTCATAAATCATCAGAGAACCTGCTACTTCAAGTCTCCATAACCTTTCTCACATATCCTGAATCCCAAATAAATATCCAAATACCTGGAACTCTATTTCTAAACCTCGTAAGTAATTCGCTAGAATACAGTCCAACTGATCATTAAAAAAATCTATAATTTTTTAGTTAAATACCAGAAGTTAAATCCACCAAGGTTGCAAAAAATAAAGATGGTTTTTATATACCAGAGTGTCTTTTGTTTCCAGAAATATTAGTTGAACTGTAAAACTATCAGCACATCCTAATTTCGATTATTATTACATTACAATAATGTGGGTGCGTTGTAGAGTAGGGATGAGTAACCAGCCAATGGTTTAGATTTACCAGGGTTGCCAAGGAAACCGGTTAATGATTCGAGCCGCCAGAGGAATTGGTTTGGTCGACGAAACTGGCGCATGCGTGACTACAAGCATGAGAGTTGAATGAAATAGACAAAGACAAAAATTTTATTAATATAACGTGTCTAACAGACACTTGTGTGTGTAATTTTATACGTCCCCTCTTCTTGATCAGTAACATATACACATGGAAAGCAAGCTTGCAGCTCACTACTTGCGCATACCCATTAAATTTGCCCTCCTTCCGCGCGACCCCACTACTCTGAAGTCTCAATTCAAGCTCGGGGGTCACGCGCGGACACGAATGTTGAGTCTTACGCGCTCGTTGTCGACGATTGGTTTCCTTCCCACCCCTCAACTTCTTTCCCACCCCACTTATGCGCGGCTTTTCATGTTACTTTCTCTCTTGCACGTCTTTATCGTCCCCTTTGTCGAATCCTATACTCTCTCATCGTTCATTACGCTTTACACTGTCATGCCTTCGTGATTTCATGATAGCTACTCCCTTCATACCAATTTCGTTAACTGCTCCTAAATACCATAAGAGGTGTGTATCAATGATACTCAGCATCTCTGATCAATTCGATATTTTAGACACATCATATCAAGCAAACATGAATTTGTATCAGCCAAGTTCCTAAAAAGATATAACTCCCAATGAAACTCATCTAAAATAGCTTAGCAATTAGCTGACAGCATTCATATTGATGAAATTCAAAATCAATCAAACCTGAATGTACCTACCTACATGATATTGTTAAGTTTCCTGTTAAAAAAAGGCAGCTGAAGTGATCCAATGAATGTGAGGCGTGAAGATTGTGTTATATGTCATCATCAATAATAGTTGATTGTTTATTTCTTTTACTGACGGCTGATGGATACTTTTATAAAAGATGAATTTGAATAAACGTATTCATAGGTCACATTACGTAACTGAGACTCCCACGTCATTGGCGCGTATCAGACATTTTGACGCTCGAACGTGTTATGGTTCCTACTTCAAAGTTATTGCAAAATAAATTTTTCAATAAACACCATCTATAACTACTCTACTTTATCTTTACCATTAAAAACAATAATATTTCTTACCCAAAATCTTCCTCACGGCAACGATGATCTGTCCAGAGTACTCCATTGTCTTCACATCACATATTTCCATGATTATCCATGGATTTCGATGAACCAAGTTTTTCTCTGACATTGTGATTTCAATCCCTCCATATTGGATTCATATGAACCACTAATTCATCCTAACTACCAACATTAATAGCAATAATTTATATTCCCAGTTCAAGCTTGATAACTTCCAGTTGTTGTGATGAAAGTTGAAGGATGTTGGTCAAAAGTTGACAACAATTTGATGATAAATCGTGATTGACCATAGCTATATGTTATTGGAAAGATTAGATATATCTATTCTAGTCGAATGCATATAGATATACATAAATGGAAAATCGCTTGGCGAATGAAAGCTTCGATAAGAAAGGTGCGCGCGCCGTCTTGGCGAGCGGGCTTGCATCGTTCGTTTCCTGTGCATGTTTGCATCGCACCTAGCATCACCTTGCCTAGTAGGAAGTTCAATGCTTGCAGAAAATCTACCGTTCTCTATATAAACACAATGCGTTGTTCTCAGTATAATCCTTTTGTTTCATCATTACGCTGCTTTCACATTACCAAACAATCTGCAATGATTATCTCTACTTATGAATCAACGCAATTTTTATTGCATAGAATAATGTTACCATTCAGGTTTAGAATTTTTATTGGAACTTGTTTATTATTATTATTATTCATTTTGTATTGAAGACAATCCATGAATTCACTTGACTTTTAAAATTAATTATCATACCTGGTGTTCAAATCATCATAGTGGTCTTCAGTATCTTCCAGATTTCATCAGACATCTTGAAAAACAAAAAAAAAGCTAAATTAATTTCTTTATAAATAGTTTTTATAGAAGTCATAGATCAACTTGAGGGTCATTCACGATTAGTCATTGATTTATGTTTGCTATTCTTACATTATATATGATCATATTAAATCATTTTTTGTTCAATTTATTTCTGCTTCTTTTGTAAAAAATTCTGACTGATAAATGATGATTTATCATTTATATCTATTTATAAAATTTTAGTATATGTAATAGTTAGATAAATAAATTACCAGTTGATTATTCAAGAGTATGTTGATAACTGTAGGATAAAAATTCATCAAATATAACTGGTCATCAGTTGAAAAATAAACAGGAGACAAGAAGAGGCTATGAGTACATAGGAGGCAGAACAGTGAAACTGAAAAAAAATAATCCCCACCCAAAAGTGATCAGCCCTCCCCGTCCATCCAACATAGTGGCTACTTCACCATCCATATCTCGTAGCTTCATAATAAAACATCGTCGACTACATTCCCGTTAGGCATATTCTCCCTCTACTCAAACTTGTTCCCCTTCTTGCTGTCTTTTTAGTCTCCCTTCACGTCTTGATCTCATGAACTGGGCGATATTCATTCTCTGTCTCACTTCTTACGCCACAGCCATTCACTTTTTGTCCTTTGCTTCACCAAACATATTTTACCTTCGCTCCGGGTGGTATTCATGTTGATATGCTGTCTGTCATCCGCAATAAACTCGCACTTTAGTGCGCCTGCTACAGTGGGCGTACCGAACGTCTTCTTTTTTATCGACAGTACTACGCATGCGTGTGTGATAACCGATTTTTTCCCCTCTCAATAGTTTTTAGCTCCATCAATATTCCCTTTATATTTATTCTCCAGAGGGTCACTCGAGTCAGGCAAAAAATGTGCGACACACGTGTGTGATTTCTTAAAGCCACTGAGAACTGTTCACAGAAAACTCTTTATACTTTTATGAATTCATTTCAGTGTAAAAGTTATAAGCTAAGATTTATCTTTATAATCGATTGACCTTGAGCCTTTTCGTCCCTCGAAATGTGCCTAGCTTTGTTAAGAAAAAAAGGCAACACTAGCGTCATTTAAGGGTGGAACGCGCATGAGCACAAATATAGATCGGCTGAGTCTTACGCGCCAAAATTACGCATAACCTTAAAATTGTTTCGTATCAACTTTTAAGTCTTCTTTTTTTTATTATAATTATTAAGTATTTATAAAGACTCCAATGCTATAAAAGAATCATTTGAGTTTTATTCCATAAAATAATAATGGAAAATATATTAATTGAATTGAAATGTATATTGTTGGGATACACGACTAATTATTCTTTTTTATTAATGTTTTTATTATGAACAATACTTCTTAATTGTAAACAATTCTAATTGTTCATATATTTATTATTCTTAGCAATTCAACAGGACCATTAAAATTCAATTATTAAAGTTTCTGTCATATTACCATTTCTCATTAAAACTTTCTAAGTTTTCTAATTTTCCACATTGGAACCTTTTGCCCTACAATTAACTATGCTACGTAATGTTCTAATATAATTATAAACATCTTTCCTATTTAAGCTCACTTTGAAATCTTGCTTCAACAAATGTACATCAAAGTGCGTTCTATCAGATCTTCAAGATTCTTCATTAGACTAGACCATTCATGCCTATATTTAACTTGTTGAAGAATAATTAAACTGAATTTACAACTGTTTTATAAATTGCAATTATTTGAATAAAATCTTGTTTGGATACAAAAGTATATTGCAGATTTACACACTATTTTTGGAAAGAAGATTGTTTGCTTATGATATAATGATGAAGCCCAAATTAGGGCTCTTAGTTAGACATCTATCTGATTTCTGGTGGAAAAAATCACAAAACCAAATTAGTACTTCTGTGAAGAAATTTGCTGGGAATGCATTGCCTGATTTAACGGCTGTCAGATACAAAGTAAAACGGGGGCCTTATGATGAAATCACAGGAACCCATGTCAAGTTCTTTGAACAGCTTCTAGGACAGAGTCGAGTGATCACAGACCCAACTGAGTGTGATGGGTACAATGTGGATTGGGTTAAGACGGTCAGAGGTAATCTATATATTTTAATTTACCCTTAAAATTTTTTTTAAAATAGAATACATTGAAATAATTATGTTTTAGGAAAAAGTAGATTAGTTTTGAAACCTAAAACAACTGAAGAAGTATCAGCAGTTTTGAAATACTGTAATGACAATCGTTTAGCGGTATGTCCTCAAAGTGGAAACACCGGATTAGTGGGGGGAAGTGTTCCAGTTTTTGATGAAATAGTTCTTTCAATGAAAATGTTGAATAAAATTATTTCTACTGATCAATTGACAGGTAAATTAAGTTTTTAAACAAATGAATATCATTATTAGGGTAAATATGATATATATTAATATTTCATTAGATTTATTATAAGTTAGAGGATTAAAAGTTTATTTTAATAACTAGGTGCATTAGTATGCGAATCAGGATGTGTATTAGAGACTTTGGACAATCATTTAGAACAGTATGGGTTTATGATGCCTTTAGATCTTGGTGCTAAAGGAAGTTGTCTCATAGGAGGGAACTTATCGACAAATGCTGGGGGTCAGAGGCTATTAAGATATGGAAATTTACATGGATCTGTTTTGGGACTTGAGGCCGTAAGTATCGTTATTTAATTTTTATCAGCATAAATTGTCATCAAAGTCATTATCAAATTATTTCTAATCTTTAGGTTACTGCTGATGGCCGTATAATTGATTGTATCAACACTTTAAAAAAAGATAACACTGGATATCATCTTAAAAATTTATTTATCGGTTCGGAGGGTACTTTAGGAATAATTACAAAAGTTTCAATAAGTTGTCCCACTCGTCCTAAAGTTCAAAATGTAGCATTTCTTGGTTAGTTATTCAGCGATTAAATACATTTTGACGTAACGGATTTTTTTCTTTATTAAATGTGGTTAATTTTTGAAGGTCTTAAGAATTTTGACAATGTACTGAACACTTTTGTGCTGGCTAAAAAAGAGTTAGCTGAAATTCTATCAGCATGTGAAATGATGGACTTTAATTCTATGGGTATCAGCACGGATCTTTTAAAATTACAACGACCATTGACCACTGAACATAAGTTTTACATGCTCATTGAAACCTCAGGAAGTAATTCAAGTCATGATGAAGAAAAGTTAACGACTTTTATAGAAAAAGCAATGTCACAGAAATTTATTGATGATGGAACCCTTAGTAGTGATCCTACAAAAATGAAGGTAAATGATATAAAATTAAATAATTTTTTCTATCTTCTGAAAGTTACTTTTTAATTTTCAACAATATTGTCTGCAGCTTTAACTTTTTTTTTTCATTTTCTTTAGCACATGTGGTCTGTTCGAGAAAGATTAGGAGAAGGTTGTCTTTTAGATGGATATTGCTTCAAATACGATGTTTCCTTACCACTTCCTTGCTTTTACAAGCTTATTGAAACCCTTCATGATCGGCTAGATTTGTCTCGGGTCGTTCGGATCAGTGGATTTGGTCATTTAGGTAATTTAATTCTATTTTATTCATTTTTTTTTTTAATGTAAGAAAAGTTAGTTAAAATGAGTTTTTTGCTACTTCGTCAGATATAGTTTAACCAGTTTTTACAGTAATAATGAAAAAAGTGAAAGAAAAATTTTAAAAATGTAAAAAAAAAAACGTAGCAAAAAACCTAAGAACGTTCAGATTATAGGAAACCAATAATAACAAAAATAACAAGAAAAATATTTGATAAAATATATTCAGTTGAAGTCTTTAATGTTTTAATAATTTTTTTTATTACTTTAACTATTATTTTTATATAAAATACAAATCCTATTGAACCCCTGGGGGAGTCAGTAGCCCGAACGAATGATCCGTAAAAAAGCCATTAACTTAATGCCTACAGGCGACGAGAACCTGCACGTGGTGGTGGCAACGCCTGAGTACGATTCAGAGATTGAAGCTCAACTTGAACCTTTTCTCTTCGAGTATGTATCACAACAACATGGAAGTGTAAGTGCTGAGCATGGCATCGGTTTCAAGAAAACAAAGTATCTAAGTTACAGCAAAGATGCATCTGCGATTGAACTTATGAAACAATTGAAAAAAACAATGGATCCAAATGGAATTCTTAATCCCTACAAAGTCTTGCCACTTTATTAGAGTATCGATTCTCTTTCAATGACTGTAATGCATTTACATGCACTTTTTAGAACGTGTATTGTGATAGAATCAATTGATTAACTATTTGTATTAATTGTTTATAATTATTGAGTACTCTTAGTCAATGACGAAAAAGGCATCTATGGATAAACAGTCATTTTTATCCATTTATTATTCACTTAGAAATGTTGATCAAATACTTTGTATCTTTAATGTTTAGCTAAAAGAGAATTTTAATATCAATTTAAGAAGAAATCGGTTGAAATTGAATTCGGAATTTAAGGATAATGAGACGATTGCAATCTCTTATATATCGATATCTTTTAGGAAAGAATTAATATGAAATTACAGCTCATAAATTATTGAATTAATTATATATAATTATGTGAATATAGAAAACAAAAAGTAATTATAAATAATATGGGCTGTGAATTGTTAAAAAGTTGATTCAGCTTGATTAAAAATTTGTGTAAGGTTAGAATAGTTTCTTTATACATTCCATTAATAAATACTCATTTATCTATACAAAAATAGATAAAAAAAATTAACAAAAAAAAACGGTGAAACGTAAACAAGCATTAAAATGACGAATGGAATTTCTAGATCAGGCAGCAGGTATGCTCCATTTGTAGTCGCAGTTGTGAACTATATATTGTGTATTGCGCAATCGATAAAACGTGCGCAGAACGTATGTGTGCGTGTCGTAAAGCAAGAGAAATTCTCCCCTTTGCTTTACACATCGTCTCTTGAGCTTAGTATTTGGCAAAACCAAAACATACAATTTTCTTTACGCTCACGTATATGCTCGTTTAGTTTATTTGTTATTTCTTGTTGATTTATCTTACAGAAATGAAGATAGATATAGAAAATTTTATTATTTTTTTTTTAATGTTTTTATTTAGAAATGACTAAAAATATATATTTAAATCAATATTTTTATATATTTATTATTATAAATTACTTGTATAATATTAGAAAGTTTGTATAATCAATATCTGTTTAATGATTATGTTATTTGAGTACCAGAAATTCTTGGGAAAGTTAAATTATACAGAAACAAGATATTGATCGCAGGATAATATTGGAATATGATTTTGCGATGGCCATTAAATATTTATATCATGAAGGTTAAACTAAAAAATTCAATTTATCATTTCAAATAATCGTAAAACTGTATCAATTGTAATAAATTAAAATAATATACCTGAAAATACTGTAAAATAATAATCAATATGTGATAACGTTAAATAGATTCTTGATTATCTATAATGAGTTTTTAATGTGATAAATTTAATTGAATTAATTAAATGGTAAATGATTGTAAAAAATTAAAAAAAAATTTCCAGTCTAATGAGCAAAAATAAGCAAAAAGTTTTTAAGAAATTTCTTTGTTTTATCGTTAATCGAATCATTGTTGTTCGTCAGACTAAAAAGTTGATGGTGGTGCTCTCAAACGTGAACAAGAAGTATTTGATGATAATTCAACAAGTCTCTGTCGATAAAGTCACTTTCATTTTCATAGATAAAATATATTGATGTGTTGGTGACATTATTGATTTAAGGGTAGGTGTATTTTCTAAGGCTTTCTAACATATGTGAGTGTTTTTTTTTTAATCTACTGTTTAGCTTCCGTTATTTCTGTTTATCTCTAAAAGTAACGGATGTTCATAATTGCAATTACCTATATCATTAACAAGCTGCTGGCTGCAACAAGATCGATAAAGACGGCTTGTAGAGGGAGGTTGAATGCTGAGAGATAAAACGAAAAGGCTTCGAAATCGCGGGGTTTGACGAGGATACCCGAACATGTTGGTGGAACGCTAAAAGCCAGTGGTGGTGGCAGTAGTACTCCTGGTCGTTGTGGCGTGTGAAGGTGGTGGCGTTGATTCAATGTGAGGTTTAGTGGGCCAGTTTTTCTCGTGGTCTGTTGAATAACGGACGTATGGCTGTACTCGGGACTTGTTTGAATGACAGAGGATGGTTTTACTACGAATTAAGTGTTAATTTGTGTGTTGAAAACTGTTAATACTTGATTTATTAATTATTAAAACCCACCAGAAGTCTACACGACAATATTCAAATAAAAAATGACAGGGCAGCTGTTTTTTATTCCAGAGGATTTTTGAAAGTTTTTGGCTGTCTTGCAAATGTGACAGAGACTTGAGTGCTTATTAAAGTGATTGAGTGAGGATTCAAAGTCAAAATGAAAGAATTGGAACAAGTGCACGATGCTCCAACAACTCGGACTCTCAAATCTCTTCTTAAAAAACCCGGACAGGGTAAACAACGTAATAAAAATCGTGTTGTTATCAATGAGAAACTTAACGAATTTTTTGCTGCGGATTATATTATTCTTATCAAAGAAGAGTGTTGTGCAGACTACGAAGAAGAATGTGACTGTTGTTGTCAAGAACCTGAGATGATTCGTTTGGGTAATTGTAAAGAATGCAGAGCTGAATTTAACAGACATTTAGCGAGTGGTGAAATAGATCCAAGATTCAACCATGAAAGAAATGGAAAGATTGAATCTGATTTGTCAAGAAGAATGGGCAGTGAAGAGTCTCAGTGTGAGGATGATGATGAGGATGATGAAGAAGAAGAATATGAAGAGGAAGTTGATGATGATGATGAGGAAAATGATGAAGCAGAATCATCAGAAGAAACAGAACATCGAGATCCCATATTGCAGACTCCAACTTCCCAACCCCAACAACAAGAAACTCTTAGTCCTCCAGAGGGTTACAAGGACGTCTGCGATGATGATATGAAATCGGAGGTCGTGAGCAGTGAGCTGTGCCTTGGACCCGTTGTAGTTTGTGGCGAGTGTAACTACTACAACAACCGGCAACGAACGTCAGGTGAGTGAGTCACGAGGCTCGGATTACGCTCCTCGTGCACCTGTTCCCCTGCACCTCTCAACACTTCTTCCGATTCATGTACTCAGTTTTCTTCTCTGCAATTGAAGAAGATTCTAAGGGCTATCGTTTGTAAAGTACACTAAACCGGATGCGGTCAATGTAGCTTTGAATCTCACGTTGTTGCTGGTGGTTTCGTTCTTTAACAACAACTTGAATTGAGATGATTCTTTTGTTTGGTAGATTTGAAGATAAAAAACAATTCTCAATGCTTTCAAGTCATAAATAAAAAGGACAATACAGTGAAGGCTAGTAAATAACAGGTTATTCCATGAAATTTAAGGGTGGTCAAAATAGATACGATGCTTGAAAAAAAAAATTATCTGAGAATTGAATTAATGTTATGAAGCTATTCATGAAATTGGTATACTCCAAATGTTTTTTCATGCAAAAACAGATCAAGATAGCAACCAAGTTCATAGGACCTATCAAGTATGAAATTTCCCATGAAAGAGTATTTAGCGTACTTTATTCGAATTGAATAGTCTCGACGATAGAAGCGTTTAAAATTGTGTATTGATTACACTCCAATCCTCCAATGTTTAATCCCTATACACTGCGGAAACGAAGCAAGGCTGCGAAAAATTGCAAGGGATTTTTTTAGAGCATGAAATTTTTCAACAGAAAAATCCTTAATGACCTGAAAAAAAAAGGAGTTTAATGGTGTGAAGCATTCAAAATTGTATATTGATTATACCAGAATGTACTTTTTTTCATGTTTAACCTGAGCATCTTCAAAAATACTACCAAATTGTACAGATTATCTTTTGTAGAGCAGAAAATCTTTGAGAAAAATATCTCTAGGGACATTTTATTTTTCGTTTGATAGAAAATAGTGTAGATAGAGATATGAGATTAAGTTGAATATTTGTTTGTATTCACTTGTGACAAGTTATTATGAAAAATGGAAAAAATTATTAATATGACAATTCCTGATGATTTATGTTCACTGGTATATTTTATACACAAACTATCCAAGACATTACATCACTTGCATGCGAAACCACGTGACCTAAACAATGAAGGCTCCGCTTTCGCCTACCACTTATGCTCTTATTGTTTGCACCTTGTTTTCCTTGGAGCAATAATTTCACACTCCCACGATAGAATATTAAGAGGAAAGTATTCACTACGTTCCAAAATAGGAAAAATTTATCCTAAGCAATCTCTTATAGCTCATTATAGTAGATAATGTATATCTTATTGTAATTGCTTTTAATTATTTTTCATTTATATAAACATTTACGTCATTCACTCGAAAAATATTATAATAAGAACACATTGTTGGTTTAATTTTGTTATCAATTCGTTGAGAATAATTTTTATTAATACTAGTTGTATTCATAAATGAATATATTTAATTTATTTAAATAGATTATTTAATTGTTTGTAAATTTTAATTAATAATGTTTTCTTTTGTATTATGATTCATTATTCCAATGAAAAAAAAATGTAGATTTCTTGTTACATTTAACTTTTTGTCACCTCATGTGACATTTCTGTAACAAACAAACAATAATCTCGTAACAACAATAATAATTAATTGATACAACAATAAATAACAATAGTAACGATTTAACAATAGAAATAATAATTAATTAATAATTGAATATTATTATTAATACAATTAAGTTTTCAAGATCTTGAGCTATAGAGGGCTGAGATTCTTTGTAATTAAATAGTTATTCATAAAATATTGTTTGCAATTCTCAATTAGTTTAATGAAAAATTTTATATGTCATATAAGATACCTTTTATGAGTGTTTAGATGTATTTCGTTTCATTGTTATAAGTTAAATCTTTTTTGTTTTTATTTTTATTTTTATAACTACGAGGACAATATTTTTTAATTAAATTCTCTAAAGACTTCTAGGAAGTATTAAATTTTTCATCTGATCAATGAGACGAGTGAAGTGATTACAAGACTGTCATTATGTATGTAAAACTGTCCTCTTTTTATGCTCATCATCTGGGTCAGAACTTTATACAAAGCACTTTAAGATAGTAATAATGTCGTCTAAATATTACATTTTTTGCTACTTTTTTTTTTTAAGAAATACTGCTTTTTTGTGATTGTATTGATAATTATATCAATGTCTAGTCTTCGATTGATTTTCTAAAAAATTGCAAACTGTTAAAAGAATTTTGATAAAAATTGCACTTTTTAATTTAGCTTCGTCTTTTTAATATACGTGTAAAGAAATTCCCTATTAAGGAAATTAGAGTAAAGAAGAGAAGAAAGAAAATGAAATATGAATTATTTATTAAACATCAGTTGTACTTTAGACAGAGTCTGGAAAAAATTCAAAATAGATTCTTCACATTATTTATGCATTATTTATTTAATATCCGACAAATGAACAATAAAATGAATTTTAAATTATAATGAAAAATCGGAATTTTTGAAAATTTTCGATTTATTTTAGTTTTAAAATATTCAATAATGTATCATTTTTAGAGCCGATTATTGATAAAAAGAGACCATATGTGGTGATGTAGAGAAGCACATAGACCTAGTAGTTTCTGTCAAATAAAATTTCAAATTTGCAAAAATTGAATTCGATCAACAATTTTTGAAATAACAAACTCTATGCTCGAACAATCCGTCACAAAAGTTACAAATAAATGAACATTTGGGCTCCAACTTACGCGTTATAATTTACCATTTTTATGACTGGCTGTTACTAAAAATATAGAGACTATTAACTACTGCATTATTTAGTTTTATACATTTTTTCACGTCATGTTTTATAAATAGTGTATTATTAATAAAATGTATAGCAACTTTATAATAAAAAAGAATCATAAAATTAAAAAAAATTATTTCTCAAAAAAAAAAAAAAATGGAATATTTAAAATAAAAATTTATTGAAGGTAGAAAAAAATATATATATAGATAGATGATGGGAGAAAGAAAACTCTTTTTTCTCATGATAAATCGAATAAATAAATATTGACATGTCTGAGATATATATTTAAAATTATAGTCAACATATTTGTTATTACAAATGTCGGTATGGTTTTTTTTTTTATTTATTTTAAAATTTTTAAAAAAAAATTATCAATTATTTTAAGGCACTTCTTTGTTACTTTTTTCATCAAACTTGACTCGTATCCGAACTAGAAATTTTTTCATTTTTCTAACTTTTTTCATTACTCATAAAATCAATATTGTTTTATGGGATTTTTTTAATCCACATTTTGTCCCACATTTTTTTTCTACAATACTTCCATACTTACAATGTAAAAGTAGTCCTTAAAAAATAAATAGAAAGTTGCCTATTACAATTGATAAAAATAGTTAATAATAAAATATTATATCTTTTCACAGCAAATAGTTACTTTTGTAAAAAAAAATAAACTTTCTCTATCTATCTATCAACACAATGAACAACCTACATTGTAAACTAGATACTTATAAATAGCAGTAAAAATTCGGTTTAATTAATTTTTCAAGCACCTCATAAACTTTTAATTAATCAATGTATCATGATGAAGTTGAAATACAACGGATTATCTTAATAACGGTCAGTACTTGAATTTTATCTTATAGTTGACAATTTTTATAACCGATCTCTAAAGTAGAGGCAATTAATTAACTCATTAGCGTTCGATTTATCTTGAGCGAGTTAAGCTACTTAACGTTTTATAAAATATTTCTTTGCCATAAAAATCGTAAAAAATGTGAATATGTAGAGTATATAAAATGACTTGGATAAATATTGAAGTTAATGTGATAATAATATTAGGTTTTAAGTAGAATGTTGATGAATGAGACCTTAACCGGAATCACGGTGAGTAAATGTGGCGCGAGATGCGACGACGATCACGTGGAAAGCTGGAATGCACATCGAGCTGGGTAGTTAGCTAAGCATTCATGTGCTTTATAGTATAGTGCTACTTTCTAAACGCTCGAATGCTTTATATATATATATGTATAGATACATTTAGAAAAGTAGTTGTAAGTAAGACAACGATGGCTACTTCAGAGGACACGAAAGATGTTGTTAAAGAACCCGTTCACTTGGCCCTGGATTCAAATACATGGGTGACAAGTTGAGGATGTATGTCGTTAGTTGAAGTGAGAAAGTCAAATGTGAGAAATGAGAACTGTTTCTAACAGGTGGGACGCTGCTCGCCATGGATCAATACGGCAGTTTGATGGAGAACTAACGAGAAGTGGGAGAGAGCGAGAAAGAGAAAAAATAGATAAAAAGAACTTGTAAGGTGGATGATGGTCCGAACGTTATATATAGTTGACGAGAAGCACCTCAGTGAAACTTGTGGAAACCTTTCCACAAATTACACGCTTTTTTTTTTCTTTATTATTTTAATTTTCTCAATGACAAAAAAAAATGATTTTTTTTTTCATTACATTCGAGAAAATGGTTTTATCTTCCTAAAGCTTTCTCTCTATTTCAAAGAACATATTGGCTAACAAAAAAATGCACACATCGATCACTCATATCACTTCTCGCACCATTGAGAAGTAGCAACACACACTCTGGTTGCTGCTTTGCCTCTTCCGCCGCGATTACTCTCTTTCTCTCTTTTTCTATCGATGCTACCGGCGTTTTATTTTACTCTCAGTGTCTGGTGCAGCTTATACGCATATTTACATCTGCTATAGAACACACAAGTTGATGCGAGTAACGTAACTTTACATATAAACACTTGTAATAATGTCGAGCTATGTTAACAGATACATACATGTAACTTAATGGGTCCTATATTGTATACTCTTGAATTTGGTGTTATGCCAGGAATGTGGGTAATGCAGGGTCATTTTGGGAATATTTATATTGAGTTCTGTAGTTTAAATATTAGGTAAAGTAGTACTGAAGAGTTCAAACATCTTTTGACTCCAAAAATGGATTGTTTGAAATTTTAATGTAGCTTTTTTTGGAGTAGAATATTGATGAGTGACAAGAATAATTTAAATT